TTTCAAAGCACCCTAAAAAAACTCCGCTTTTGTCCCGCTCCAGCCTCTGACACATTAGTAATCTATGCCTCTGACCATAGATTACTAACCTCTGACTATCCGAACTCGCCTCAAGTCACATACTTTGATTACATATCACTCAAAGTATGTGTTACATATACATTTGCCGCGTTTGAGAATCCACATCGGATGCATCTGAGATGTTGTGAATTTTTTATCACGTGATAGAGAATTAGATCTGAATGTAGATGTAATAAACAAACGCTCTAGACTTTATTTGGTCACGTGATAAAATGTCAATGACAAGTTAGAAGTTTATACTTATTAAATTTGACTTTTGAGACTACAAATCAACCTAAATTTGAAATATAAACAAAAATTAAACAATCTAATCACTTTTATATTCATAACAAAGGATAAATTGACAAACAAGACTTCACAGAACACTTACTTTCAGGCATAGAACGAACATCTCATTCACATCTCATTTCAAATCGAGATGTAAAAAATGTAATCTGAACAGGTACATCTGGGATAAACAAACGCAGATGTAGATGTAGTAGATGTGTCCGATGTGGATAAAAAAACGCTCGAGATGTAAAAAATGCATCCGATGTGGATTCTCAAACGCGGCATTTGATTTTCTTTTACTATTCGCTCCGTGCGCGACAGCAGCGCCAATTCGTTTTGATACTAGTGGACTATTTCGGCGTATACTGACAAATGCAACTTTTAATAGAATTCGTAATTAAATAGTATACATGTTAGTTTTAATAAAAGTATATGGATTTGTAAAACAAGTAAAACATTAATTTATTATTATTATATATTTTTATCGCTTAAATTAAAGAAAATTATGTAGAATTGATAAAAATCAATAATAAAATATAGGCAGGCAACAGTATTTACTGGAAAATGTATGAGAAGTTGCCTAAGTCTAATAAGTTTTCATTGAAGAATTAGTCTATTCTGTCAAAATACAAAAATACCATTTAATAATAGCGTGAAGTTAAAATGTATAAAAAAAGGATCATTACTTATATTTTCATTTTTGTTCGAAAGAAAACAGAATGAATGATTAAAACTGATTTCCTATCAGTAAGTTACAAAATTGCGTTCCAACCACATATAATAATCAAAGGCAGAAATCTTGAAATCTAGTCCTTGCTGAATGAACATTTAAGAATAAGGGATATTAAAGAACATGATAAAATGATAATTTATTGTTGATTTAAAACCTTTCAAGTTTCTGATGTCTACTATATTTGCAGCATTACGGTTATTATTACAAAAATAAAGGTAATTTTCCTTCTTATCAAGGACCGGAGGGGAGGTTGTAATGACGTCACTGTTTAGCATACTCGAACATGATCTCATCCACAGGCGGTTATTTCATGTGTTTGACAAATGACTAGAAACGGTATACAAAGCTAAAAGATGGCTTTAATTTTAAAATTTAAATTAAATAAGATTGAAATTGAAGTAGAGGAAAGATACGAAATTATTCAACAATTAAAGATTGTAAATATAAATAGCACAAGTAGAATTTGTTGTAATTTTTAGACAATAGGTACATTAATAATTAATATAAAATAATTAAATTTTCGCGTGGTTTACACACACGCACGCACGCAGGCACGCACGCACGCACACACACACACACACACACGCACATACACACACACACACACACACACACACACACACACACACACACACACACACACACACACACACACACAAATTGTTACTTCAACTCACTGCCCACTTTCAAAACAGCATGGATTTTCCATTTGTCGCGAAAAATACCTTGTAGTACGCCCGTGGAAAATTTTACGATGGTCGAAATTGATAGTCTGGCGTCCAAATTGTCATGCGCACCGAGCGTTTTTCCACCTATGTCGGCTTAGAAATTAGGCATTCCAACGACCTGTCAAACAATAGGTGCCAGTGGGAAATTCTTGTATATTTAAGGGGGTAGCGACATAGTCTTGCAACTTGGACACTATTTTTATTCGAAGTAGTACTCGCCAAGCCTGCCAATTTATGAAAAAATGTATAGGTGGGTTTTTTAAATATTATTTTTATTGTGTTTGACATAAAATATTTAAATGTAATCCATTATTCATGATTGTACGTAAAGTAGATAGAATACACCATATGTCGCCACCCTTAGATATACCAAACCTGCCCACTGGTAATTCATTTGTTTGGAATGCCTAATTAGGAGTAGCGTTTATGATCAGGATATGCGCACTTGGATATACACATTCCATTCACATTCCACTGTTAGTACTATGCACCAATCTCACAGAGGGCGTTACAATAATTCTTCGTTTTTCCTGTAACGTCAGTTGTTTTTGACATACCAAAATTTGTTATTTATCGTTTGTCCTATTGCCGCGTTTGAGAATCCACATCGGATGCATCTGAGATGTAAAAAATCTTTGATCACGTGATTCAGTATACGTAAATGTAATGGGACAGATGTGTCCGATGTGGATAAAAAAACGCTCGAGATGTAAAAAATGCATCCGATGTGGATTCTCAAACGCAACATTTGTGGGTGACTGGATTTTATTTTTTGCGAATTATATTATTGGAAAATTGAAAAGTACATTTATTTTATTAGTTTTTAATCTGTTTTTCGTGTGCTTCTTGGTTTTTTATGTGTTTTTTTTTTTGGGTTTTTGCTAGTGTTAGAACTTGTATTCGTGCTTTTGTTAATATTTAAGACATTTATTATTTGTTTTTAAATCTGCCTTAACTTTTCAAGTAGATATGTAAATAAAATTCCACATTTAGCATTCATTATAATTGTAACTTTGAATTACAAATACTATTAAAATAAACAAGATAACACAAAAATAGTATTATAATTTAAATAAATTAGAGAATTTGGCTTTAATTATTTAGGGCCGATTCCACCGTTGTGTTAACGAAGTTTAAATTACAAACGAGGATTAAAATTACATTTTTCTACACCCGTATTATAATAATGCACTTATATGCCCATAATCCGTTTCATAATGATACCCATTATGATACAGATTTTTCATTACGATACAGATTTTTAGGGGCCTATTCAGTAACTCTGAACGACGTCGTTAATAGACGATAATCGTTCACAGACGACTTTTCTTATTCAGTAGACAACGATTGTCGTTAAAAATAGACAAATATGGTTGTAAAATTGTCGTTCATCAACGATAGCCAAAGAGCTGTCGTTAATAATATGAAGTGTCGTTATAGTGATTTTTGCATTCCCTCTCATTTTTCATTGTTTTAAATAATAAAAGCACTTTTTTACAAATTTTACAACTAAATTGCTATCTACCTAATACAGCAAGTACAATTTGTAAGGAATTTTTTTCTAATTTATTTAATTATTTTAAAAATAAATCTGATTCAAAGTTAGGATTGCCTATTCAACCATTTACTATTCGATTCTTATTAACAGTGCTGTTCTTTGCGAAACAGTAACAGAACCTATATTATGGAAGTACCTATAATACTTCTCCGTAACCTACACAAATTTGGTTTGTCTTTCAAATCCAATAAATACAACTTGTACTGTTCTCGAGTTGTTTTTTGTATTCTTATGGAATAGTTCTCAGTTTTTTTTAATATATCCATACTCATTTAAATAAACCCTACATACAATACGACCAGCAAAAATGGCCCGCGAGAAACAGAATTACTACGAATCGAGAATCGACCCCCTGATGATCGTGTTGTAGGTTTAAAGAACAATAATTAATATATTCTGAAAAACAAATGAATATATCTACTAGTTCCAAAAAAATGTCAAATATACCGGGTGTTCAAAGAACAATAATTAATATATTCTGAAAAACAAATGAATATATCTACTAGTTCCAAAAAAATGTCAAATATACCGGGTGTTCAAATTAAAGGGTTACAGTTAAATACCGCCTTTTATAAAAAAAAAACAAAGTTTTATAGTTTTTTGGGGAAAACATTTTGGCTAAAAATGTTTTTTTATAGCAAACCATAATATGGCCAACTTTTTTTCGCGCAGCAAAATTTTCAAGTAGGTGTTACTCAATAAAGTAGAAATCCAATAAAAAAAATGTTTCCTTTAGGGCCGATTTTAACACAACGGTGGAATCGGTCCTTAGAAGTTTCTTATTTTTTTATGAACTCTAAAAATACCTATGTAAAAAAATAGGGTTCCAATTTGAAAAAAAATCCACCTCGATATGGCCATATTATGGTCAGCTATAAAAAAAATAATTTGGCCAAAATGTTTCCCCTAAAAAACTATAAAACTTCTGTCTGATACTATTTTTTTATAAAATTCATATTTTTGGCGATATTTAACTGTAAAACTTTAATTTAAACACCCGGTATAATCATCAACATACGTTCTTTTATCACAAAACACTAAATTATAATACCAACTTACTAGAAATCATCGTTCAGATTTGGTAACTAGAAACAACGTAACGACTTTGTTATTGAATAGAGTTTCAAAAATTATCGTTATAAAAGTCGTTGGTTGAACTGTCGTTAGCTTAACGATGTCGTTCATAAACGATAAATTACTGAATAGGGCCCTTAATCAATAGAAACCTACAATTTTTCAATCAAGCATGCTGTTTGACGTTTGTCCTAGGTTCCTATGTAATTATTTTAGTTGTCAAAACGTATTAAATTTTCGTAGGTAGCTAAACTTCGGTCATTTTAATCTTCGTTTAGTAATTTAAGCTTACTTTAACACAACGGTGGAATCGGTCCTTTAGTAAACAAATGAAAATGACGTAACCTCAATGTTTGTTTTCTTGACTGAGGACTTTGGTTAATTCTGCTTCTACACGAAACGTGCGTTTTTAAATTTTTGGCTTGCAGCCAATGATCGTTTTCTAATCTTTATGGTCTTTTACAATGTAAGACGTCTAGCTACATTATGCGTCCCCAAACCATCAGATGGCGCTCAATTCATAGTTTGATGATTTAACATTGAGTTGCCGTTCTATGTTCTATTCTTCTCTTACCTATGTTTATGATATCTATGGGCACAGATTTATTCTGTGCTATGGGTTTATGTCATTAAGGACCGATTCCACCGTTGTGTTAAACGAAGTTTAAAATGACATTTTTACATTAACAATGTCATTTTAATCTCCGTTTAACACAACGGTGGAATCGACCCTAAGCATAGATATCCCATATCTATGCATATAAGCCAAAGCACAAAAGCCATCCAGTTTAATATCAAGGTCGGTGTTTTAGAATGATTGATAACCTATAATTTGTATATTTTTTAAAATTATTTAATAAAAAAATCAGGATGATTTCAGACAATATTACAGGTAATCATTTTCAGAATGGTTTTTTTAATTTGGTATTCCTAACGATTTTTTTTAGACTACGAATTAAACATGAGCTTACAATACCAAAATCTCAATATGTATGAGACTGATATAGAATCATCTGATATTTCCCAAAATGAGACTTCCAGTTCACACAATGATGAAAAGGTTCTACGGATGATGGTAAGAATAAATTATTGTATAATATCCACGGTGGAGCAATTCAAACATTTATTATTTTTTAGCAAAAAATGGGTTACAAAGAAGGGTCTGGCTTGGGTAAAAGTGAACAGGGCAATACTAAAGTGGTAGATTTTAATTATCAATTAGGAAAACGTGGATTTGGATTGAAACTTCGGAACATTGAAGATACAATGGAAAAATGGGATTTTGCTTTAGAGGTAATATTAGAGTATCTACATTATATTTGGTGCCCTTTTTCATTTGATATATTTAAAAATGGACAAAAATATATGTTTTTAGGATGTAAATGTGAAAGAAAATTTTATTTGGTTAGACAATGAGGATGCAGAAAATTTTACACTTACAGTGGAAGAAATGTCATCATGGTTAAAAGAAGGTCCTCCTATTGTTGATATAAAAACACAATCAAACTATTGTGACCAAGAATTTCTTAATAAAGTTGTAGAAGCAAAAGTAAGAAATCTATTTAAAATTTTCTTTATAAATCCAACAATTAAGAGTCTATTATGGCTTTAAATCATTTTAGTAGTTCTGAAACTCTACCACCAACATTTTGTGTTTTCTAAAAAATTAAACAAATTATTTTTTAATGTTATCAAGACTATAATATAGAGAACAAAGTTAGGAGGGAGCTGTTGTCTAGATTAAATTATTATAAATGTGTATTTTTACATAATTGGTTACATAGTACAAGTCTGCAGAACTGCATCTGATTATTCCAGACATTTTGTCTTTTACAATTTAAAAATATTCTCCTTTTATAGTCACATTCCAAAAATATTTGATAAAGTGCAAAGTAATTCTATTTTGAAAGCTATACACATCTCCAATTAAGCGAATGAATGATTATTATAGTTATTGTGAAATAGGCTTCTGTAACTTGAGATTACTGATTTGCTCTTGCTCTATCCTGTAGTCATGAATATTATGGCTAATTGCAGAATTTTTTATTTCTTCATACAAAGTTACAATTTGAAAATTATGTGGAGTGACTCACAAAAATATATTTCTAAAGTAGGCATTAGAAAAATTAATGCATGCCTTTCATTCATGGTCTACCCTCGAAACATTTTTTTGTGGATCACTCTTTATAAAAAATTAAAAGTAATTTAATACTTATAATTATGCATAATCAAGACATACATTATTTTTTAGGACATATTTGATGAAATGGACATTATAGAACTGTGCCATGCCAGGGCAAGATGTAACCCATTTGAATCACTTCGCTCTGCATTTTTCATGAACAGGGCTGCATTGAAAATGGCCAATATTGATGCCCTTACTGATTTCATGTTTACTAACATCGACAAAAATGTATGTTTCCTTTCAGCTCAGCAAGTGTGAAATGTTGACATGAATGAAACAGAAATAAGTATGTAAGATGAAAGACTGCTTTATAGAATGATTTAGAAAAATTGCTAATTTATTATTGTGTTATTTAACTTTTTGTCAAAAGATTAGTAATAATCAATAATTCTGTCAAATGTACATGTTATTCATCATTGTAGTTTGTCTAATAAAATTAAAGACTACCAAGTAATTAAAATGTAATAATAATCTAGTAGAAAACATGGATAATATAATCGAGAAAATACATTAATTTAGAAACTTTTTTTTAATTGAATACCAATGAAATGGTATACGAAACAATGTGCCTAGTTTTCATAAAGACATCAAGAAGCAGTTTTTAAATTTAAGAAATTAAATAACAAAAATGTTGCTGAATAAATTTTTAATCAAATGGAAATAAAGTTTCTTGGGTATAGTTCCCTAAAAATATTTTGCATCATTTGGAAATACATAACCATGAAATTTAAAAAAAAAATCCATTACACTAACATTGGTTGGATATTTTATCCGATAAAGTAGATCAAAATCACTTAAAAATAAGTACAATGATTTAAATTTCAATTCCTATCAACATTATTATTTTTTTTTTTTTTTGTGAAAAAATACACTTTGTTCTCATTTATATAAACTTATTTATTATCTCTATATGGACAATCCATATTTTAATTATTCTTTGATGCATCAAAATAGTTGTCATTATCATGACATTATCCTAGATAACAAAATCTAGAAATAATAAATGTATTATTCTGAATTTAAAATTTATGCAATCCTTTGTTAAAAATACTGAGTACACTTCTTAAACGTACTTATGAAAACCTAATCAAGATGACTTCTTCAGATTTTTAATTTTATAGCTTTTACAGTTAAATTTAGCACATTTTAGTCATACTTTTTTCAAAAAAGTTAATTAAAATATTAAAACACTAATGTGGATACAATTATTGCCAAAATATTCAAATTTGCAAAAGTGCAGCTCTTTGTCAACTGTAACAGCTCTTGGGTGGGAGAAATGGTGTCAATTTCTTAATGGCATGTCAACTCCAACCTCATTGAGTAGCTGCGAAGAAATTTCCATTATTCATAACAACTTTCTGTTTTTAACTTGGTTATATCGATGACTTGCATCTCTAATTTCTTCTCAACTGCATCTTTCTTTTGGTATCTTATTTGTAAATAATACCAGCAAACGTTTCAGGAACATTTCACAAGCAATACAGGACCATTTTACTTTGCCGATGTATGTGCAGGCCCTGGCGGATTTTCTGAATACATTCTTTGGAAGAAAAGGTGGCTTTTTAAAGGGTTCGGTCTAACTTTGAAGGATGAAAACGACTTTAAACTTCACGAATCTTGTTGCGCTTGTCCCGCTACGTTTCAGTCGCTGTATGGAAAAGATGAAGACGGAAATGTGTGTTCACCAGAGAATATAACGGATTTTACAGAAAAAGTACTGTTTGAAACGGAGGGAGAGGGGGTTCATTTCATGATGTCTGACGGGGTAATTGGATCCATAATTTTTTTTTTTAAAGTAGACAATGACCGACAAAGGCATAATACGAATCATGTTTGGCTCAGAATTAAAACGAAACTAACACTTAAAATATGTGAATCTTTTCAAGGCTTACTTTTGAAATATTTTTATGTAGATCACCCCATATAATAATGATAATCATGATTTCTATACATTCCTTACTGGATATAGGAAAATATATACATTTATGAACGAATCTCCATTTTCGTTTTGAGTAATGCATTTATTACTTAATTAAAACACTCTCATAAAAGGAACAATATGAGTATGTAGATTAATATTGTTTTTATTTTTTAGGGGTTTTCAGTGGAGGGTAATGAAAATTTTCAAGAAATCCTTTCGAAAAGTATCTATATTTGTCAATGTCTTGTCGCATTGGAAATTGTTAGATCTCATGGTCATTTTGTGACTAAACTGTTTGATGTTTTCACTTCGTTTAGTGTAGGTCTTCTGTATTTGATTTATCACTGTTTTGAAAAAGGTAGATGATTCATTTAATAACAAAGTGAATTGGTCCAATAAGGTGTTCCAACTATCTAAAAAGGGAGTTGGTTTACCTTATGTTCTAATAAATACTTATTTAAATTCAATTTATTTTAATAAAATTAATTTACTCCTATTTTATTCTTCTAGTTTCCATTTTAAAACCTAATTCATCTAGGCCGGCGAACAGTGAAAGATATTTCATTTGTTCGAACTTGCGGCGAAATACTCTCCATTATGAAAACGTCAAAAAGTATTTGTGGATTATTGTACAACGATTGTGGGCGCTTAATGGTCAAAGTGAAATAGACATTTTGGAAATAGTACCTTTAGAAGTATTAAAAAAAGACGAAAATTTTTATAAATTCATATGCAACAGCAACAATAGGTATGTATAAAATATTTTTAATATAAATTATACAGTGTGGAACAGCCAAATTGAATAAATTCAGTAGCTCAATTATTGTGCATATTTATAAAAAATCCCGAAACGCTTCAATTGTAGATTATAAAATGACATCCTGCAACATGAAAATTTCACCAGTACCTTCAACTCCCTTCGAGTGACAGTTGTAACCCCCAAATTTTTAAATATGATGTAGGTGCTTGCAATAGGCCTTTTCATCACATTTTTTTTGTGCGCATGCGTCAGTATCAGTCATCTTTTTCGTACTTTTTTTTTGTAAACAAGCATGTTAAAATGTCCACGTGAAAAAAATTATAATCGATAAATATTAATTTTAAGTGTATTCGTTTAAAAAATGGGATAAAAAAGTAAAGTAATTAGTGTGTTAATTGAAAAATCAATTTTTGCAATCAATCAATTATGTTATCTTTACGGAAAGGAAAAACTAAACGGTATTGTTATGAGTATGTTAAAGTGACACACGGTATAAATTAATATTTTATAAAAAGACTTGCCTGCAATATCGTAAAAAAACAATCAAATCATTAGGCAAAATACATATTAAAAACATGTTCAAAATGAGCATTGAGAGTGAAAAAATGTAGTCGAAGTGACAAAGGTTTTCGATCGATTGATGGATGATGTTACTAAAGATACTTATATTTGTTCACTACATTTTCATGGAGAAAGTGGTTCAACAGAAGAAAATCCTTGTCTGGTATTACACAATATTTTTTAATATTAAATACTACTTCGGTATACACAGTAATATTATTAAAAATGTCATGTTGATCCTTAAAATTTTAAATAATTTATCTTATTAATTATACTCGTGATTAATTTTCATGTTAAAGTGTTTTTGCAAGTACTAATACTTATTGGTGGGCATAATTAATTAGAATAGAGTTATGATTATTATTTGTTTACATTAATTTTTTACACAGTTAATATGTATTGAAACCTAACCTCTCAATCACTACACTTTTTTTCTTGTTCCGAACGTCCACGTCACTTCAAGAACCTTTTTAATTGCTCACAACTATATGTGCTTCCACAGAGTTATAAAAATGTAAATCACCATCAACGATTTTTTCTAATGATTGATTTGTATGTAGAGATAATATTGATTTTCCAGCCATTGTTGATCGAAACAGTACGAAACTTTTGAATTGGCGCTATTTTAACATGGCGGCTGCGCTTGCGCTCATCATATGATGAAAAGGCCTATACTTTCTTTGAAAGGTCTCTTTATTCTCTATTCAAAAATACTGTGATTTTCAAATTTATTGCAAAACTTAATTTGCTACAACACCCTAAACAATTAATAACTAATAGATAGTGATGAACTTACCAGTGATTTTTAGGTCACTGGTATTCCGGCGACGGTGACTTGTAAGTTCTTTTAACAGTGACTAAGGTTGCTGTTTCATTATGTCAACCATCCATTCGATATTCGATGTTTTTATCCTAATCTTAATTATTCGGAGTATGACGAGTCTGAAGTCACAACAATAAATAATAACAAATAGTGTTATAGACTGCAAAATGCACTCGACCGGCGACAGAGAAAAGTGATTCTAAACTAAATCTGCACTGAAATCTGAATATATTTTGATTATGATTACCAACTTAGTGACTAACAATCATATCCAGATAGGTATCAAATAACAAATATAAATATTATCACTGGCGAGGGGACGTCGTTGGAATCGACGACCAGATTCGCTGCTTTGCGGAGAATTAGATCGCCAAGCCACCATTATAAAAATATTGCCCATCACTACTAATAGAGTTTCGTTTTTGATAATGAGAGGACAAGCAAAAACAATTTCAATGGCCTTTTTCAACGATATTAACGAACAAAAAGACATAAAAAGTTATCAACATTCTTCAAAGTAGTCACTTTTAATTTCGTTTTAAACCTAGCGTGATTGTAACTAGGGGTGGTCAAAATAATCGATTAAACGAATTGAAGCCGTAAAAAATTTAAATACCTGGGAGTAGTAGTAGAAGACCATGTGTTGTTTTTTTTAAAGATCATACTATATAGTTAAAACTGTAGCATTTAAACTGCTCAAAATATCTTAATAAATGATCATTGATTCTTTTATATAACAGTATATTTATGCCTCATTTCACTTATTATGCCACCATTATGTATTTACTTAATCAGAATGAAGCCGACAGATATTATTGTCATGTGATAAAAGGACCAATATACAATGGCTTTCTGTTAAAAACTATTTTTTTCTACTTAATAAAATCAATTACAACTTTGACTATCATAACTATAACACAATAAATAGATCTAATTTTCATATTCAGCAGGTTGCAAGTAAACAGTGCCAAAATTCAGTATTTTTAAGGGACTTCAGCTTTTAATGAGTTACCCCTAGAACTCAGAAATGTCGCCTCATTTAATACCTTTAAATATAAATTAAGAGATTATAAGTTAATGAGCCAGCATCTATGATATTTTAATGTTATATTTTGTTTTATATATGTTTATAATGTTAAGATGGCGCCGACTGAACCGCACGCGCAAAATACTGATGAGTGTAATTATTGTAAAAAATCAGTAACTGCTAGTGTAAAATGTGAAATCTATGACTTGAAATATCATCCATCGTGTGTGCAGAGTAAATGCTATCATAAGATGCTGTAAACCAAAAGTTATTGAAAAATCTAAGACTATGGATCAAGAAAAGAGTAAAGGTGATGTATTTTGCATTGATGCTTACAACTTTTTAAAATTACTAGTAGAAGAACAAAAACTAGCAAACCAATTAATGAGTGAAAAAATAGAAATCTTAAAAGTTGAACTTAAAAATGAAAAAACGAAATATTCTGATCTGCAAACACAATATAACGAAATAAATCCTAAATTTATAAGAGTTGACAATAAAAATCAAAACTTATCTATCAGTGATAATAAAAGACCAGTTTTTATAGAAAAACCAAAACAAACAAAAACTGAAAGTGTGAGTATACCTGTTGGAAATAAACATTTAATACCAAACAAAAACAAGCGATTATAAGAATGCCCCTGTACAGGATGACTCATTCCTCCAAAGGAAACAAGTTGCATTAGAACTAATGAAAATTCAAACCCTACAAAAAACTAATGAAATAATAAATCTAGCAGATGATACCAATGAGGGAAGTCATGAGAATGATTATATCACAGTAACAAGACGGCAAAGGAGAAAAAACAAAACAATTATGGGAAGTGGAGAAGGTGATGATGAATTTTAAGGAAGAGAAAAATCAAACAAAAAAATTTGGCTCTTTGTATCTAGAGTATCAGACACTGTAAATGAAGAGAATGTTAAGAAATACATTCATAAAAGCACAAACGCAGAAGACATTTATGTGAAGAAACTAGACACATATTTTGTAAGACAAAATAATCAAGCTTTTCTAGTGGGAATAGATCCTCATTTTCAGGAGCAGGTATATAAATCAGATTTTTGGCCAAAAAATATAATTTATTCCCGATTCAACTTTAAACAAGGTCAGCGATTTCTTGAAGATTCACAAAACCAGAGATCGCATAAGAGTGAAGAAAATTTTTCAAACCTAGCCTCTACTTCAATCCTGATGAAATAGGGACCTCAAGGACTACTATGGAAAACCACGTTTTGAAAGAAAATAATGAATTACTATTTTGCAGTTCCCAACAGTTAAATATTACTTTAATGCATATTAATATACAGTGAGGTTTTGCCAATAAATCTTTGATCTAAATTTAATTTTACAGAAACAAAATGTAAGTATTCTATGTGTTACTGAACATTGGTTTGATTCTAACAATTTACAAGCTACCTCAATTGACGATTTTAAGCTAGTATCCTATTTTTCACGGATAAATAAAGAAAAAGGTGGTGCTAGTATATTTATGAAAACAAGTATTGCTGCAAATTTTGAATCAATTAATTTACATAGGTTGTGTATAGAAGGTGAATTTGAAGTATGTGGTGGAAAAATAAAGATCGATTCTAAACTTTTTTTATTTATTATTACTGTGTATAAGCCACCTTGTACTAAGTTTAGCACTTTTATAAATCAGCTAGAGCTATTAATTCATAATATTTATCAAAACGACAATCACTATTTTATCTGTGGTGATATTAACGTAGATTTTTTGATTGAAGGTAATCAAACAATTGTTTTAATTGACTTATTGAAGGAATTTAATATTAAACATCATATAAATGTTGCAACGAGAACAACAAGTACAACCTCAACTTGTTTAGATAATTTTTTTACCAATTTTGATGTAGATAAGGTGGGTGTATATGATACTTTTTTGTCTGATCATAACTAAGTACTTATGTTCGATTAAACTACCTAATTTTGAAAATAACGAATTTAAATACAGATATAAACGAGATTTAAGTGATCCTAACGCAATAACTTTTATAAATATTTTATCAGTTGAAAATTGGCGTGAAGTATACACATCTACTAATTTTAATGATAAATTTTCTATCTTTTATGAATCATTCCTATACCACTACAATATTGTATTTACGAAAACAAAGAAAGCGATAAAACCACAAAAATCAAAAAATCAGTTTCCACCTCAGTTACATAATCTATTATGTGAAATGAACAGGTTAAAGAAAGAAATAAATTCTACATATTATACAGAACGTTACAATAATTTAAAAAAAGAGTATCAAAAAATAACAAAACAATATTTGAGAAGAAAAAATAATGATCGTATTTTAAATAGTAATAACGTAATGAAAGAATCCTGGAATATAATAAACGAGAGTAGGGGAAAAAGAAAAAACAACTTTTTGAATCCTATTAAACTTACAAATGATGACAAATTAACACCCTTAGAAAAAGTAAATTATATCAATGACTATTTTATTAATGTAAATAAAAATAATATTGTACCTAACTATACTATGAGTATTGATAAACATCATAAAAGTTTTTTTCATTTTCCAACAACTCCTAGTGAAACCATCACTATAATCAAAAAAACTACTTCTAAACCCACTGAAGGTATTGACGAAATAAATGGTAAAATTCTGTTATCAATTGTTCATTGTATTGCTGAACCCATATCACATTTGATTAATGAATCCTTTGTTTCGGGATTATTCCCAAATATGAAGGAATCTAAAGGAATTTCTGTTTATAAAAATAAGGGATCTGCATCTAATATAGAAAATTATCGTTTAATCTGTATATCTAGTCAAATAACTAAAATATTTGAGTCGGCATACTTTATTAGACTCACTAATTACCTTGAAAGTTTTAATATGTTGCCAGATACTCAAAATGGATTTAGAAAAAATAAGTCAACATCTACTGCAATTGCAGCTTGCCTAGAGTTTATATATCAAGCACTCAATGATAAAAAACATATTTTGGGACTCTTCTATGACCTTATCCGTGCATTTGATATGGTGGATCATAATCTTTTATTATTGAAGATGAATGGGTTAGGAATACGAGGGAAACCTTATGAATGGATACAGTCTTACTTAATAAATCGAACTCAAGTAATTGTAACAAATAGTCTAAAATCTGATCCATGTACAATATGAGTTCCCCAAGGTTCAATTTTGGGCCCACTTTTTTTTATAAGTGATATAAGTAATTTTTGTTTAAGCTGTCAACAAATAGTTCAATATGCCGATGATACCAATATTGTAATGGCAGATGATCAAATTGAACAGGTCACTCAAAGTAGCAACGAGGCATCTCGTGAGTTTAACCAGTATTGTAAATATAACGGTCTGGCATTAAATATAACAAAAACAAACTTCATGCAATTTCTACCCAAAAACATATTACCAGATTACGAACCCTACTTGCACGTTGACGGAAAAACTATTCAAAGCGTCAACGCTTTGAATAAAATATAAAATTTTTAGGAATAATATTGGATCCCAAATTAAATTGTGAAGCTCATATAAAAATGGTAACTTCAAAATTAAGTACTTGTTGTTATATCATCAAAAATTTAAGGGAGACACTATCTTTTGATACTTTAAAACTATGCTATTTTGGTTTGGTTCATTCAACTCTACAATATGGGTTAATATTTTGGGGTTCTTTACCATACTTTGAAAGAGCTTTTGTATCTCAAAAAAAGGTTCTGAAAGCCATGTATAAGGTGACACCAACAAGATCATGTAAAGAACTTTTCAAGAAAACGTAAATTTTAACACTACCTTCCCTTTTTATTTTTCAACTAATTTTATACATAAAAGATAATGAGCATATATTTAAGAAAAATAAAGACCTGCACTCGTATGATACTAGATTAAAATTTAACATCCATCAACCTTTGTCACGACTACAAATAAGCCAGCATTTACCAAAATATATTGGGATTAAGTGTTACAATAAGTTCAGTAACATATTAGAAGATACTACAGGTTATCATCAAATTAGTCGTAATGATTTAAGAAAACATCTTAATGATTTTCTTGTAAATAATGTACTTTATAATATAATTTTTTGAACTCTTAAACTAATCTCAATTCAACCCAATCATTTATAATCTTAACATGAATTGTCTATTATATATTTTTTAATGTATTTTACTTAACACTTTTTTGACTAGTCTGATAGGATTTTACATTATGTACCTAGTGTCTTTGTATAGTGTATAATTCTCAAAGATGAATAAATTCTATTTCTACCATAATTTTTTTTTTGAGAAATCGTTTCCCCTCTCATGATCCCCATATTGTCTAGTTCCCCCTTAGCCCATATATGCAAAAATATCTTTTAAAAGTTAACTCCTTAGGGTGGATGTTACGTAGCGGAGGTCACAACAATAAATACTTCTATGTATAATTACGTAAGGATCACCCTGTATACAATTTTCAATTCTAATTAATTTTTCTTTTCAATAATTTTCGATATTGTCACAAATAAAAATACTTTACTCTTGCACAAAATTAAAACTTTTGACAAACCTCATATGCTATTAAACAAATTGATATCTTATTTTATGTTTTAGACCATGCCGAACTTTTTATGAAGAATAACTTTTTTCTTTAAAATATTAATAAAAAATTCCAAATAATACCATACTTTTGTTGGCCGGGATTTTTTCATTTAATTTAATTATTTAAAATTAATTTTGATGCCTTGGTAGGATTCCCCACTCGACCATTCACTGTTGGGTTCTAATTAATAGTGCTGTTCCTAAAGTGGCGCTGGGAAACAGTAACAAAGCCTACACAGAACACGAGGCTAATAACCGTAGTAGTTGATGCCGATGACGCCAAATTAAAAAAAAAAATACCATACTTTTTACTTAGGACCTAATAGGATTCCATGGAGAATGGATGGGATGTTGTAACTTTATTACATTGATAAAATTAATCCCTTTTACAACACCCTATAACTTTCCTTGAAAAAATGTATTACTTTAGCCATGCCCCGATAACTCGAAATTGTGGTCTCCTACTTTGAGAGTATTGGGGACTTACTTTAGATTTTTACATAATCTGTCTTTCAAAATAATTTTCTCTCTCCTAACGTTAAATAAATAAAACATTATACCCTGTATGAGTATTCCCTAATAATTCGTATGTTTTGTTGATGTTAGTTTAGCGATAAAGCAAACGGTAGGATTGAAAAAACTGGCGACATTTTGTCGAAATCCGACGCTGGTCGAATCCAGGCAGGAAGAATTAAAAAAGAAATGCCTCGAATTTTGGCAAATACCCGATAGACAAAAGACACCTCTACCTCAACTCAACGCAATTGAACTTGTAAATACAGTCATGGATAAACCTGGTAAGTAATAATTTGAAATATGAGGTGGAGTCAAATGAAAAAAAGTGTGTGGCTTAAATTCTCTTCACATTTATTTTCCGTTTTGATTTATCTTAATCACTGCATATCGGTCACCAATATGAGATATTACAAAATACCTTGTTCCAACGTTTTCAAATTTGTTTGTTACATCCACAACAAATATGTTAATAAAATATTTTCGGGGATGTAGTTTTAATAATATATTTTTTTTTGCAGAAATAATTTTAGTGCAACCCAGAGAAATAAACCAAATAAAAGCATTTAATGAATTGATCTCAAACATAGAGGATTGGTACTACTATCCTTTATTTAGTTCTAAGAAAACAAATAACTGTAATTTTTATGCGGGTAAGAAAACATTATTTCAATTTAATGTGAAATTTCTTTATTTCGCGAGTTATTGATTAAACTTTCTAGGTGTTTCCGTTTCTAAGGTATACAGGTTGCAAAAGCATAAATGGGTGCGAATAAAAAACGTTCAGCTATCTAGGGGAACGCTTGTGTATGGAGAATTTGTGAAAGAAAAATGTACCACAAAGTCGCTCCAGGATCAAGAAATAGAATACATACAATACAGTCTTCACATCATCGATGCATTGCAATTGGGTGAACAGAATCTATCGGATTTGGATTTTTCAGAGAGGTACAGTCAAAACCATTATTAATTTTTTTGGGTGTGGATATTTTAATTTAATAGAATAGTTTTCATTTTGGGCCAAATAAAATAAATGAAATTACGTTTAAAAGTTACATTTAAACTAGCAAATGCAAAATTTATTTTTATTAGTTAAAAAGGTAATTTTCAATATTTACAATTTATACAGGGAACTTTCTCTTCTACTCTTATGAAAAGTATTTATATTGTAATGTGAGCCATTTCATTATTCAGTCATGCTCTAATCCTCCAAGTCTTATTTGGCCTTTGAGGCTCAACTTGTCAGGTTATCATACATAATTAAACCCCTTAAGACCAAACATATGTGACGACTATGGCGGAGGAGCTTTCGATGACTATTCGAGAAAGAACGGGATAATGTTTCTAGTGTATTGGTGAGAATAGGTGAACTTTCTAGCACCTTCGCCAAACTTTTAAATTTGTATATAAATATTGGTGGAGGACCAAGCGGGAATTAATTAGTAGATAGACAGTGGTGAATATAAATAATGAACAATTCAAAGACATATATATATATAAATCATAATAGTAGTGTTATAAAATAAATAAGTCTTTAATTAAATTATTAATAAATAAACTGTTATTTAATATAAATAGGGTAGAGCGAAAAAAAAATTTTTTTTTCCTTAGCCTGGGGGTGTAATTTGTAGCCCATAAAAAAAGAAAATTTTTGAAAAAAAAAAAATTTTTTTACTCAACGTCTTGAGGTGGCCCACTGATTTTTAAAATTAAATTTAAATTAAAATTCTTTTGAATGAAAAAAAAATTTTTTTTGGCTTGGTAATCTTCAAATTTATCTAAAAATAAACAAATTTGATCGTGTTCAACTCGAAATTCGCTCTAGTGCCTCAGAAAAGCATGTTATTATTTTGGAATTTTTTAAAAACAACAATAATGACCACAAAAAATTTTTTAAGTTCATAACTGTTAATTAGCAAGAAAGAGGACACTCCGCAGATAAATTTGAAGATTACAAGCCAAAAAAAAATTTTTTTTCATTCAAAAGAATTTTAATTTAAATTTAATTTAAAAAATCAGTGGGCCACCTCAAGACGTTGAGTAAAAATTTTTTTTTTTCAAAAATTTTCTTTTTTTATAGGCTACAAATTACACCCCCAGACTAAGGAAAAAAAATTTTTTTTTCGCTCCACCCTAATAAACAAACATTACAATATAAAAAATGGATAGTAAAAAAGTTACATGGTTATCTGCTTTTTTGACAATGTAAATGGGATAGTATACAATGAACAAATAAAATAAATTTAGTTGTGTTTAAAATTGTTTTAATTATATAGGTTTTTAAAAGGGTTCGGCATCCCTTTGACCCCTCAACTTTTTTAGACAATGAAATTCAGTTTAAAACAGGACACTGCTGAAAGCATACATCTGTTTTAAAATATTTTTGTCTCTTAGTAATTGTTTGTGAAATCCTTGATTACTGAGTTATGGGCCTCTGAAGGATAGTGAAAAATGGGCCCGTTCACTTTTATTTTTGAATATGAATTATTTATATATTTATAAAGATATTAAACTCTTTTGTCTGGTGGTACTTTTCCCGTCAAGATATTTTTGTTAGAAGTAAGGGAATTCCCATAAAATTCTTTCAGTGACTCATTGCGTCAGAAAACCCCTAATTCCCTTCAGGTCTCGTATCGGTTAATAGTTATAAGGGCGCGGTTGTCAGATGTATCATTGAACCACAATTCCTCTTCTTCATTTATTAAAGAAATTTACATGATAAAAATATATTATTTTTTAAAAATAATGTGTTTATATTTTCAGATAAAGCTGGAAGCCCTGCCTTTTTTAAATTTTAATAAAAACAATTAGTATTACTCAAGCTGAATATTACCAGATCGAAATTTTATTTGAGAAAATGTATCTGGTAAACGTGACAACGTTGTAAGTACTTCTAAATAGTGTTGTCTACACACACTTCTAGAAATAAATGCAACGTTGCCACGTTTACCAGATAAATATTGCAAATCAAAATTCTACTTTTTGATTATGGTCTGGTTAATTTTCAGCCTGAGTAATAATAATTGTTTTAATTAAAAAGTAAAAAATAAGCTCCCAGCTTTAAATCTGAAAATATAAGTTCATGATTTTTAGAAAAATAATAGAATTTTACTATTTAAATTACATATATAAATGCAGAAATGCTATATTAGGGATACGTCCGACAACCCCGATACGAGAAGTGAACGGAATTAGGGATTTTCTGACGCAATGAGTCACTGAAAGAATTTTATGGGAATTCCCTTACTTCTAGCAGAAATATCTTAACGGGAAAAGTACCACCAGACAAAAGAGTTTAATATCTTTATAAATATATAATTAATTCACATTCAAAAATGAAAGTGAACGGGCCCATTCTCGCAATTAAATTTTTCTGTTCACGATTGCTTTTTTATTACTATTTTACAACTTCATGATGATCGATAATACAAGAGAATAATTTTAAATGAAGTTGTCAAATAACAAAAAAAAAATAATGAAAAAATTCAGTTGTTTAAGATCAATAGAAAATGTTTCACTACGATCTTCTTTCAGGTGCCTACAACGCAGTAATTAAGGCTTTTACAAAAAAATACTAACGGACAAAAAAATTCAAAACCGAAGTATGATTTCAGTGGTATCCTGTTTTAAATGAATTTAATTGCCTCAAAAAGTAGGGAGGGTCAAAGGGGTGTGGAATCCTTCTAAGAAACTAAAGAATAAAAATAATTTTAAACACCACTAACTCTATTTTATTGGTCACTGTATACTAACACCCCATGTAAATTTTCATACAAATGTTATGCCATTTTAGAGTAAGAGCAAAAATAATTCACTTTTTTTTACTATTCATTTTTATATAAGCAAGTCAGCTTAAATCGGCTTATTGTCGACCACAGAAACTATGGTAAAATTTACTGTACATATATCCAGTGATTTATTTATTTTCTTTCTCAGTGTTTTATTCAAATTTTATTTTCTCCACATTTATATCGAATATTTCTATTGGTATTTTTTTATGTAATAATTAAGTCTAGCCGTTTTTAAATTGCCACCACGTATAACAAAAAAAAAACATCCTAGCTAATTTTTGTCTCTTAAAAAAATTACAAGGTACAAAAATGAGAAAGAACATCAAGAATTGAAACTAAAATGTTCCGTTTCTACTTTGATTTGTGGCAACGGTGTAAGGTTGTTTTTTAAGGATTTAATCTGTTCAGTTCAACTGTTTTACTCAGAAAATCGGTTCCATCCTTTTCTCTCAGTTAAAGGAAAAGCGAAAGGATTTCAGGGACCCTATTCGCTAACTCATGAGAGTCGACATGTAGGAGTACTTAAGGTTTGACAGTGGCAATGCAAAGCTATAAAAATGCCATATAAAAAATTGATCGTCTGCCGGGCTTTAGTGATTGACGTTAAGATACAAAATTCTAATCATTTTGAAAAAAAAAAAAAAAAATCGAAGTACATTTACTTCATTAGTACCAAAAAGAAATTCGCATCTACGAAAATGAAAATGTACAATAAATGCAAAACATGGTCGGTAATAAAATTTTTTGAAAAAAATACCTTCATTATCTTCATTAATTAACCAGATTCATTTTTTTGCATAGTTTGTTTAGTTATGGGTATGGTAAAAAGAACAGACCGTCACATTTATAAGACAGATGCTCCAAAAGAAAGAAAACAATTAGTTAATATATCTATGCTAAATAAATGCATCACTATTACCAGGACATTTTTTATAAATCTAAAGAAATTATCAATATTTTTGTAATAGACACTTTTTTGTAAATTCTCATTAAAATTCATTTCCCATCTGATATCGAATTAATTCAATACATGTGGCTGCAGGGAAATATAGCGAAAGCGAATAGAAGCAGCTACTTTCTTCCATTCCTTCTTTAACTTCCAAACCATTCTTTCCATGTTTGACACTGGAGATAGACATCGCAATTTTTCTGTAAGGCAGAACAACTATGTCAAGTTGGCGAAAAGAATGAGATTGGTGTTTGGGCTCGTGGAGCTGAATTACTGTAAGACTGTTGTTGCTGTATCATATAGAAGTTGCTACCTTAACGAATATGGTGGTAACTAGACACGTGACTAAGTTTTTTATCGTATGATTGAGATCTAAATTTAAATAGTTGGTACCAGCTTAGTATAGCTTCATTCGCGGTAAGAATCCTGAACTGATTTAGAATTACTAATTCATACTTTGAGTGCATGCCCGAATCATTATCACTTCCGAATTTTTACCGCGCGCGCAATCCCTATTATATCTCGGTGTTTCAGGTATAGACTAGCGGTTCAAAACCAATAATTATTTTACTGCGAAACAATAGTTCAGTTATTTTTGTTCCGCGAACGCTTTTTAACTACTGCGCCTGCGAAATCGTTACCGTTAGTAATAATTCGGTTCAGGATTTTTACCGCGAACAAAGCTTATATATGTTATTGGAATTTCACGCAATTACTAAAATAAACAAATTCATTTATATTAATGTTGAATCTTATTTTTAAAGGTTACAACAATTATCTTTTACTTAAATTTTATATAAGTTTGGACTAATCTTCCATTGATAAAGCTAGAGTTTATAATTCTTACTAGCTTTCTAATAAAAAAAAAAGAATTATTGGCACCCCTTTCTATCCTAAAAGTTATTTTCCCAAAAGTGTCCTATTAGAAAAACCGAATTCACGAATAAGAAAACCATATGGTCAATGTGCTCATTTCTTTTTTTGATTTGATTAAAGGAAAGTAATGTTTGGTGTTAAATTTCTATGAGCTAGTCAAAATTTCTTATAAGTTTTCAGAAATAACGAATTTGATTATATTATATTAGTAACGCAGACTTATTGCAAATTGGCGCTCCAACGTGCAAAATTATGGCAACGGATATACTTAATGTTGAGGGCCGTACTTTAATACCTTAAGGTTTGTTTTATTTTTAAATTTCTTGTTACTTAACTTTGTATGTAACTACTATTAATTTTGTATAGTGTTTGTAAAGTATCCAATAAATAAATAAATAATTAAATAATTAATTATTGTGTAAATTTGATTTACTATTTTAATTTTCCCAATCAAAATATTGCGTTAAGAAGGTATAAAGCTACCATCTAAGTTTTTATTGAAATATATTTACTTATAACGTGTAGCCGTGCTTCCTTTATGTATGTTAGGTCTGCGTTCATCTTACAAATGACCTTTTCAACAGTCTATTCGTTTTACGAATTTTTTTTACAAGAAAAGCAAATAAATATGCATTTTTTCTTTTATCGCTGCCTAGGGCTTGGTAAGCTGGTAGTGCTTTTGCTAGTTTTCTCCTAACTTTCATATAAGGTACGTTAAGTTTTCTCACTCCAGTAGAATGGTAAAGAAACAGAGAGAAATAGAATAATAGGCGGACCGCAATATACATGCAATATCCTATCCTTGCCATTGAAAGGACGTGATTAAGTCAATTGCTCTCTTTGTGTATCTTACATCCAAATATAATTAAGCGTCTCATCTTTATTCTGCTGGGTGAGTTGGTTAACATATTGTACAGGGTGTCCGGTAATGAATTTAAGGATTTAACGCAATAAAACTTACCCCCAGAACATGATATACCAGGTTTATTAGACAGAGTAAATATGCGGATTTAGTGTTTAAACAGAATATCGTTTAAATACCGACCGTGTTCTTCATAGCAAGCTGTTAATCTGGAGCGTAAGCTGCGGAAAACGTTTTGACACATCGCCACGGGTATGCCACGTATAGCATTGGTGATGCGGTCCTTTAGCTGCTGGATGGTTTGTGGCATCGGTTCTGTGTAGACGAAACTTTTCAAGTACTGAAACTTTAAGTTTAACTGCATTATTTCGTGCACACTAGTGCCGTGGCAACTGCAATTGTTGAGCATGTTTACGAACCGACAGCCGAGTCACAGCGCCGTAGATATTCTGTGAAGTTCGCGTGCTTTTCGGTTTACCAGTTGCCTTTTTATTCACAGCAGATGCTGTTGTTCTGAATCGTCTAACCCAACTGTGCACTAAAGCTGCCCACGGTGCACTGGCTATACGTCGAATATCAAAACGTGCACAAAAACGTCGACGCGCCACAACGTACGAATCGTTTGATTTAAAAAATGATCAATCATGAACGCTCGTTGTTCTATAGGCCACGGTGCCATCGTAACTAAAATCCGCATGGTTACGCTACCTGTCTACAATTCCCCATCCTCCTACTTAGTGCAGGGCCGGTGTCAGAATGATTCGAAATATTAAATTCATTACCGGACACCCAGTATGTTATTTACTGTAATATAAAGTAAATATTTTTAGTTTTAAATCGTTTTCATTTTCTTTTGACTTTCATCTCGTTTTCTGAAGAAAAATTTAGTAGCTTCTGCTTTGAAATAGGCTTTTTAAACCAATAAATGTTTCTTCCATGGACATGGTTATAATATTTTAGTAATTTCAACTTCATTTGCCGCTTTTTTAGTAACCAAATTTATGAGCAGTTTTTTTTTCTAAAATTTTAGATGGAAAGGGATTTAAAGTGGTAGATATGACTGATGATTTCTTTTAGGAATAAGATCTTTCTTTATTCTGTGACTGCAAAATAAAAAAAAAAAATGTGAATTTTATTTGTATGGCAGTAAACACAATATTACCTGTTAACTTAGTTGCAGCATCTGCATTAAATGATCAGATTTAAAAAATATATAATTTCGTATTGTAAAAAGAAAATAGGGTAATAGTGAGGCCATCCATTTAGCAATTTTTTTCTTATTTTCGGAGCGTAAGCCAATTATGTTCCCAGAAATAATGTGTGTTAAATCCATTACGACTGTCAATTACTAGTAGCTTTGCCAACATATCAAACTAGAATCGTAACGTTTTAAAGTTTAAAAACTAGGATTTTTTTTAAATCGATTTGACTAAAACAAAATGAGAATTGCCTATTAATTTTAAAGGTTTTTAAGCTGCATCAGGTTTCTTAATAATACGCTAGTTCGGTGTGATGTCATTTTGGTTCCACTGACATTTAATTCTAACCAAAAATAAAAACATCAATAAATTTGACATATTCTTTTTTACTGTTTTTAGTTTATTTCTAAATATTGTTTACAGGTCTTAAAAAATAGTTTAAAGGTATGTAATTGGTAACGAAACGATTGTATATTTGATGCATGTTTTCTACTTACTTTAGGAATATATTTATAAAAGTGAAAAAACGATATAATTTAGGTAAACAAAACGCACTCAAAAAATCTACTGTCACTTTAATTGTCAGTGGGACCATAATTACATCATCACTGAACTAGCGTATTCCCCCAAATATAGTAGTGTGGGAACTATGAGAATAAGTTTAATTTGTATAAATTACATTTCTTTTTCTTCAGCTCGAATACTTTTGAATATCATTTAAGTACTTTATACTAACTAAATCCATGTAAATGTAATCATAAAAATTTGATGTGTCCATCACATGACTTTCCTATCTAGTTATTGCAGGGTTTTTCCGGTTATTTTGTACAACCTATTGTATCACTTCTGTAAATATTTAGAGGATAAACTAAATATATACGTGTTCCACATACATCTTACTCGAAACATTTCTTATATATATATTCATTGCCAACGAAAATACTGAAAAAAAATAAATTTTACTTTTCCTCAAATTTTTCCATTACGGTCCATTTTAGAGAAATTATGTATAAAACAAAAATTATAGAGAATAATATTAGAAGTAACTTTTATTTGAAGAATTTTCTTCTCCAAACGTAAATAAGTTATATTCCATAAAATATAAAAATGACCATGTTCGGACTCTGCCAAAAATCTAATCATTTCACCGTAGGCCAGAATAAATGTTAATTTTAATTTGGTGCCTTTCTCTGTACCCGTTTCGTTATCGAGTATACAGACACGCCACACATACAGGCACACATTCACACACAGACAACCAAACATTCAAACACACATACCCATTATCGCGAAAATAGTCTAAACCTCGAGGTCGAAAAAAATCATGATTCCTATACTTTCCTTATCTGTATACAGATAGGGAAGTAAAAATGATCTGTTGTAATAAAAAAGCCTTACTTTTTTTTTGTTATTTGCAGACAAGAAATTATAAAGGTTTATTGCAAATCTTTAAACAAAGAAAGTCAACCCCATCTGGTAAGGATCCGTCCAAAAGTTATGGACAAATTGATTAAAATATCTTCCAATTGTCTGATATCTCAGGGTAAAGAGGGATTGTACTGTAACTTACCATTAATGGGATACAAATCTGTGACAGAAACGTTTAATGTAAATTCGATTTTATTGCTGAAAACCAATTTAAGTAAGTAATTAATATTATTTTCTTTAATTTAATATCTATTATGTATTCGGATTTAAATGAATATAAAAAAGCATTATTTGTTGCAGATCAGTCGTTTCATTGGTCGTATGTGTTGAGAGTACAAATTTTCATAAAAAGCGTTGAAGACATCAATGAAGACACAATATGTTTAGAAGATATTCTAATTGAAATAAAGCAACGATCGTAAATTTTATGTAATTTTAGTTTTTACATATTTTTATTTTATTGACCAAATAAAAATATACAAATTTTGATATTTTGTTTCATTTATAGAGAATAGTAATCATAAAAAATTATAATGAAGATATATAAAGCTAGGAAGAATAATATAAATAATATAAAATGATCTTACCTTCAAGTATCAAAAGTAGTTCATAATAAATATAATAACAGTAACAAGTAAAAGTATAAAAAACACAAGTTTTTATTTAGAAAAAAATCTAATAAAAAACCACATGTTTGATTTCGTGTTTAAATGAACAAATACATACAACCTAATGAATTAAAATGTAAAATAAAATAATACAAAAATAAACTTTCCAGGGAGAGTTTCAAAGTATAAGATTAAAAGAATCGATCATAATATATCATCCAACTGCAACTTTGATCTCTTCAAATTCCAGTAGAATCTTAAATTGTAAGTTCCTATATACATCAAAATTTCATACCTAAAAAAATATATTGCATTAAAAAAGGATGTAAAAGTTTAAAATAACTAATATACACTTGGTTTAAACAGATTTTTGCGCATGTCTTTTTCTGTTTAAAAAACAATGAAGGGAATTGAAGCATACATTTCTGAACCTCGAGGAGTAAAGATAAACTAGATAAAAATTGGAAAAGTGAAAAAAATTCCGCCTCAAATAATTAAAACATTTCTAGTCTATGCATTAATTTTATTTTAGAAAATTATATACCTCAACTTTGGTGGAAACATAAAAGTTTGACGCTTCTGAATTACGGCAATCTTTATTAATACTTTTTCAAAATGTTACAAACTCCTCTTAATTTAGAACATAGAAAGTTTTAAGATATATTAAAATGTTAAAATACAAATAAGGTTAAAACGGTAAAAAACATATAAAAATAATAAAAGTAGTAAAATTAAAATAAATTTAAATATTAAATATAGAAAAACACGTATTAATTGTTGGCTTGCAGTTGGAATAGGAGTTTTTTAAGTTGGTATTTACAACTTGATTGAGAATAAGTATTTTTTAGATCATCATCTAGTTCATTATAAAGTAAACGTAAAACTTCTAACAAAAACAGCAGATGTGTGTTGTGGCATTGTTAGTGTAAATTGTCTGTGGATATTTACATTGTGAACCTGATTACAAGAAATTAATTTAGTTGACAAATATGGTGGAATTTGAGATTTTAGTATATTGTGAACAAAAGAAAGGATGATATTTAAATAAGTTTTTGATGTTTAATCATTGCAGCTGCCTAAAATATGTTGAAATGTAATCATATTTGCGCAACCCATAAATAAAGCGACAGCAGGTATTTTTAATTTTTTGTAGTCACTAAATCTAAACAAGGATATTAAATTACTATGCAATATAATATTTTACTCAATATTAGAGTTTCGCAAAGGTATTTTTTTCATTTGTTGTGACAATATATACTTAATGGCAAATAATAATGTTAATGTTAAATAACACTGAGAAAAGAGGTTATTCATATATTCAATAAACCGCAAGTTCTCATCTAAAAGTAAGCCTAGACTTCTAGCTACATTTACACACGGGACTGTCTCGTCATCAATTTTAATTGAGATATTACTTTTTATACTTGAACGTGAGTTGGTATTCGAGAATAAAATTAACTTAGATTTAGAAGCATTCAAATGCAAGTTATGGTTTACAGAATATATGTTTAATCGTGATAAATCAGTGTCATTACATTCTGTGCTGCATTTAAGTTATCATCAAAAGTGTGATGTAATTGAGTATCATCAGCAAAAAATTGGACCTTGCATGTTTCTATTTGTTTGTTTAAAACAGATGTATAAATAAGGAATAGCAAAGGCCCTAGAATGGAACCCTGCGGAACTCCTGATTTGGATTGATAAGAAACTTGATGATTGACTATTTAGCAAAACTTTTTACGAACGATTATTAAGATATGTTTTTATAAAAGAAACTGGCTTTTCAGAAAAACCATAATAATTGCATTTAGAAATTAATAAAAGGTGATTTAAAGTATCAAACGCTTTAGTATAGTCAAGTATAACTAGTACTGTAGCTTGTTTTTGGTCCAATCCCGTTAAGTGGCAAAGAGCAGTGGTGGTACTGTGCCCTTTTCGAAATCCCGATTGATGCAATGGAAGTATATTATTAGATGAAAAGAATTCCTAGATTTGCTCATATACTATTCTCTCAAAAACTTTAGAGAGAATAGGAAGTAAACTTAAAGACGCAATTCATTAAAAGTCGTTAGATTTGTTTTTTGGAAGAGGTACCACGACTGCTTTTTTCCACTGATTTGGAAAATATCCGCTTTCAAGAAAACAGTTCACAATGTGCGTAATATAAATAGAAATCACTGGCATACAAAGTTTAAGCATTTCTAAAGAAATATTATCTAAGTCACTGGAATTCGATTTTATTGCATCTATAGTTTTGGAGATGGTGTCAACATCAACAAAGCTAAATTCAATTGTTTTATTAAAATTAACTTTATTTTTTCTGTAGTACACAATTTTTTCATAGCAGTTTTCATTTCAGACAAAGGCATCGTTAATTTTATATAAATCAGCTAATTCCTATGGTATGATTTTTAGAAGCTCGTATATTCAAAGTTTTAAAAAATGTTGATGTACCTTGAAAACTTAAAACGAGACAGTGCTTTATTTCGTTCATTATATGTTAGTTTGAGATTTTCTGTTAGCCAGGGAGATCGAGGTTTACTGACCCTTATTGTTTTATACAGACAGTATCAAATAATTTTGTAATATTATTAGTAAGAAATCTGACTTTGTTTTCTATATCTGTTACAGTAACTATATCAAGCCAATGTATATTATTTAATTGATTATTAAAAGCATGCATATCTAAGTTTTTAATATCTCTAAAGGTAATAAACTTTTGTCGATTATTTACACATTCAAATTTTAAAACCTATGATCAGAAAAAAGATCAGCATTTAGAGTACCACTAACTAATGAAAATTTTAGATTTTTCAATACAGATACGATTTAGCAGCATAGCTGAGGTTTTTGCGATGCGTGTAGGCTCTGAAATGACTTGTTTTAGTCCATAGGCTTCAAAGCAACGATTGACATTATTGTCAGCGTTACTTAAATCGATATTAACATCACCAACTACAAAAATATCAAATTGCGGCACAATTGATGTTAACATATCATCCAACAAATTAATAAAATTTGGCACAGATCCCTTCGTTGGTCTATATAAAATACCAACTGAAACACATCTGCTGTTAATTTTTATTTTAACCCATAAATACTCCAAATCTACACTTCGCCCAGATGTAACAGTTAATAAGTCTAGGTAAGATGTATTATAACGTTTTATTCCCCGACGGAATGTATTTTCAACATTTTCTGCGAAATCATTATGAATGTTGAGAATTATTTGAATTTGAATCGTCTTATATTTTGGCTGAGTATCATTTTCAGTTAGGCCAAAAGTGACAATATTGTTTTTCCAGGACTCTTAATCTGTCAGTTCGCTCATGATATCGGTTCGAAGTTTTTCCTCACAGTTTTTATAGTCTGAGTTTTTCTTTGAAATCATCTTTTAGGGCACCTAGTTCCATTTCAACAATGTCTACAAAAATAGTCTTCCAAAAGCGTGTATTCGAAGATGGACTCCAACGAATGCAGCCGAATTTGAAATTTTTTATACAATAAATGAATATGATTTTCTATTTGTCAATGAAAGAATGTAGTTAATCATATGCAACTTACAATACAGGAAAGTAGTAATACTGGTTGCCTAGATGTAAGCAATTTTTTTACCAAAACACAATTTTATAATCTAGTCAAAATTAGAAAAAATATTGTATGTAAGCTGTTTTATGTAACCCATTCATGTAAATATTCATTCGTTACATAAAATAAGGCATTTCGTAACTGGTTTCATAAATAGCTATTGTAGGTTACCATCCGAATTAGAAGGGTTGCATTTATAGCATAGAGATCGATGGCTTTTGGAGTCATTCAATTAATCAGTTATTAAGTTGACAAAATCTCAGTGCATATCGAGGGTACTCTGATGTAACCTCTAACACTATTTTACAGGAGAGACAAAAAACATTTAATTAGCTAACAGAATCATTAATTTTCGATAATTTATTGTTAATCTGAAAGTTTTATTGCTTTCTCATCAACATATAATTATTCTTGATTTTTTGTTTATATGGTGAGATATGAGGTTTTACAGGTATAAATAAAGTTGAAAATAGTTGGAAAAAAATAGTCTTTTCTTTAAAATACTTAGTTAAAATACTATTTTTGAATGTAATATTAATAATTTAAAGCAAAAAATAATTAGTCACGTTTTTTTACTCATTTTTATCATTATACATAACTTCTGACAAAATATATTATAAACTTTTCTATTATTTGTTGCAACAAAAAGTAAATAGTTTTTATATCATATACCACATTTTTTATCTACATTTAAACAATATCATAACACGTTTCTCATCTATATTTAAATAACTTATTAATAAAAATTTTATGAACTTTCAACACCTCATTTTCTAGGGAATCTTGTTTTTTGTTAGAAGCACTTTCTAGAAAAATACGAGGTATGATTAATCAAATATGAACAAATTTGACAAGTAAGTGAGGTTAGCAATTGTGTCATCAAAGAAATTCAACTTACCTGATATTTTATATCTTCAAAAATATTGTTCTATTAATATTATTAGTATTATATAATCATTCACAAAGTTTCGAAACAAATGAATATTACAATAAACGAAATTCTCAAAAAATTAATCCAAACCAGTCCAAATATCATACGCTATTTTCAGCTTTTACGAAACATAGATGGCGCGACTGCATAATATGAGTTACATGTTTTCAACATTCGGCGTCTGAGATACGGGGTTTTATTTTGTTTGATAAATAATTAATGGTTAAAGATTTTAATTTGAAATTTTACACAGTTATGTAAAAACATATTTTGTAGATGAATTCGGGTTTAACTCAAAACCCTCAAAAATCGAGTTACGTGGTTACGTCAGAGTACCTTCGATATGTTGCACTTAATGCTGTAATTGCTTTTTTTATAACACTCAAACATTTGATACATGACATTAAAGATAGTAAAACAATTCTGAAAAATATTTAAATATTGGTCGTACCTCCTATATTTTATAGAAATATTTGCAAGATTTCTTCTTATCTTATCAGCTATGTTATTTTTCACTATTTTGTTTCTTAAAATAAAAATTAATTTACTGCAATTATGTAGATTACAAACGCAGTTTATTTTAATCACTTTAATATTTGGAGAGCGAAGTTTTCAATCTTTCTATTGGTATGAATTTTAACTTTGTCTTTGCAGATTTCCCCACTGATTTTTGCGTTTTAACTGAAGCACGTTAAGATTTATTCATACAATATTCACATTAAAAATACACCTTTTGGAGAACATGAACTACACTAAATTTCTGATTGGAAGCATTTTTTTATAACTTTGCTGAAATTTACAAACAGCAGCCCATTTTGAGCGCTCGCAATTTCCTTAATTGTCCAGGTATCGACTTGATCAAAAACTATTGTAAAGTGTATTTATTCAGGTATAAGGCGGTTTTTCAAAAATTTCAATATGACCATCCGTTCGGCCCATAAGGCTTGCGAAATGAAAGTATCTTCAGGACGCTCTAGTAGAAGGTAAACAATATACTAAGGTAGTTCTCACACGGGGTTTTTGTTATAAATATCCTCTAGATGAGGACTGGACAAGATTTTTTCATTTCAAACCAGCCGTTTGCGGATCGTTCCCAATCAATCGAAAAAACAAAAAAAGCCACATATTCTATTCTATTCTATTCTTTATTAATCCATTTAAACAGTTATAATGTTATTGGACACGTCAGAATTATAAATATAAAGGTGTATACAATAAATAAAAGTAATTAAACAAAACAATACAGACAAATATAGAAGAGACAAACGTAGAATGGTAGGCGAAAAGGGGCATTTGTATAAATTTATCTAGAACAGTTTGGTGGTGAAGCATGTGGTACAAATTTATATTGAAAATATTCTTGCACTGAATATGGACATATTTCTAAAAGCTGTTGTTTTATTCGATGATTAAATGTTTTTAATGTTGATTCATTTTTTATGCTCTGTGGCAGTTTATTGAATAATTTTATTCCAAGAATTGTTGGTGACTTAGCACAAATATTTAGCTGTGCTAACAGAGGAACAAGTTCATCTTTGTTCCTGGTGCTATATGAATGAAAGTCGCTATTACGTTTAAAATTCGATTTGTTTTTATATATGTATATTAAAAGTTCTAAAATATATACTCCGAATACGGTAAGGATTTTAAGTTTTTTAAATAGAGGGCGACAGGAATCTGTTGGTAGAATACCAGCCAAGCATCTTATAATTCTCTTCTGAGATATAAATACTTCATTAGCATGGGATGATCCGCCCCATACACAGATACCATAAATCAACCTAGAATGTACATTTGCGAAGTAAATTTGACGAAGATGGTGAGGTTTTAAAATGCATTTAAGGTTACGAAGTTGAAAACATTGTGAGTTTAAGGTTGTCGCTAAATTTTGACAGTGAGTTTTAAACGATAGATTTTCATCGAATGTTATTCCTAGAAATTTTGTGGAATCAACTGTATTTATGTGTGTGTTGTTTACAGACATATCTAGACAAGGTATATTAGAATTTTGGTATGTATGGAAATAAATGTAGTTAGTTTTTGTAATATTAAATAATAATGAGAGATTACTAGCCCATTCCGAGAATATTTTAATTGACCTATCGATTTTATTTTTCAATTGTTCTTCAATGGGATCAGAAAACAAGAAAGTCGAATCATCTGCATAGAGAATTGTGAATGCATGGTAAAGTAATTCTGGAAGTTCATTTACATAAATTGTGAAAAGTATGGGAGCTAACACTGACCCTTGGGGCACTCCTATATTATTTATTATTTCTTGAGAGAAACACTGTTTTCCTGAGTTGTTACTTTTAACCATTTGGGGTCTATTTGTAAGATATGTTTCAAACCATTTATTTTGATTGCCTCTAATTCCAGATGAGTGAAGTTTATTTAATAAAACATCATGCTGAACACAGTCAAAGGCTCTGCTAAGATCACAGAAAATCCCAGCCGAACCCCCACTACACTCAATAGATTGAAGCACTTTTTCGTATAAGGAGATAATGGCTGTATTTGTAGAGTATTTAGGACGGAATCCGTGTTGAGATTCAGATATAATCTGATTTAAGTTAAGGTATTTCATTAGTTGCTCCAGCATTATGTATTCGAATATTTTTGAAAGAGTAGAAGTCATTGAGATAGGTCGATAATTAGACATATCGTGCGGGTTACCTCTTTTTAATATAGGCGTTACTATAGATGTTTTTAATCTTTCGGGAAAAATACCTTCTTCCAGGGAATAATTAATTATATGAGTTAGTGGTGTTAAAATATATTCTGCGATTTTCTTTATCAAGTTTCCAGAGATATCGTCAAAACCGCTGGATGGTTTGTTTTTGATTTTTTGTTTTATGACTGAGTTTACATCTGATTCAGAGACATAAGAAGTAAAAAAGCTCTTTGTGGGTGACTTATTGTTATTATATTTATGATTTGTTTTTGGAGTTGAGATTCTGTTGTTTCATATGGAATCGAAGTAAAAAACTGATTGAACATATCAGCTATAGTTGTTGGGTTTTCAATAATTTTGCCATCGTTGTGAATTGAAATACTCTTTGTTGTCTTTGTCTTGCCTTGTAGTTCATTTATGACTTATAGCCCGGGAGCAATTGACAGGGGGATCATCAAGACATCGACTTGGACCAACATACCAATTTTTAGCTTTATTCTAATTTTAATTTCAATACTCTAACTTTGATTTTAAAAATGTTTTTTATTTTATGGCATGAACTTTCATCAAACATTACATAAAACTTGTGCAGTGACAAGCGGTTTTAAGGAAAGTCATAATTACTCATAAAAAATTGTAGTAATAAAAACATTAATAACTTAAAATATAACCATTTTAGTATGTAGTGTTTAAAAAAATAAAAAGTATTTATAGGAAACGGGTTCCTAAGTATAAATCTAATGGCGCACCACCATGTGTCTTTTAAGTAGCGAAGTTTTAAGTTATAAGTGGTTAAATCTGAATATTAAGTTCCCAAGATCTCCAGTTTCTCTGGGCCCCATTTTTTTTAAGTTGCCAACATTAGTTTCTCACATTACTAGGTTTGTCATACTATATACCTTGAGCATAAAAGTTATATTAGATGTTCAGATATTTACCAAATACCGTTAAACAATCAAAAAATTTACCTTTAATTCTTTAAAAATCGTCTAAAACGAATCCTCGTCCGAATCATCAAATGTATATTTGGATTTGACGGCACCTCTGCCAGGCCTGGCTGGTCTTTTTACGTCTGTGCTCTCCACTTCATTGTCGCTGTCGCCCGCCTTGAATTCATCATCTGAAACATTTTTCTTCTTGGTGGTTTTGGTCTTTTTGGACGTTTCGATTTTGAACTCGTCTTCTGAGAAATCGTCATTTTTCTTTTTGGTTTTAGATTTTTTCGGAACATCAAAATCATCAAGATCTCCATCCTCGTCCGAAGAAAAAGCTTTGGACTTTGTAGCTGGAGCCTACAAAATTAAACAGTAACGCTGTTTTTAATATTTATAGTTCAAGGAAATATCGGTCAAGGGGATTTATTCTGAAACAATTCCTTTTTAACAGCCATACAAAATTGTTCTATTCTGATTGTTTTTCTTGTCGATTCGAGCATATTAATTTTTTGTTGTTTTTTTTTTTTTACTTTCAAACAGGATTTTGAGGAAGAACTGGTTTTGAATTGATCAACTGATATGTTTGTATGTTTTGTGAAAATGATTAATATAAGAATAATAAAATTATTGAATCATTATTAATCATACAGTGGAACACAAATTACTTCAATATATTTTAGCAAAACTTCAATTTTCATTCAAGAACGAGTTCAGCCAAACACGGTTTATAAATATGGGCCTTCTAAGTTGTATTTGTAAAGCATTTATTTACAGAATATACCCAATAATTTGTTAAATTAGATCATTAGGGCTGTATCTTCAGGATTAACTGACCTTTTTGGATGGTACATCATCTTCGCTATCGATGTTCATTTTAAAATTATCATCATTTTCACTATCTGTACTGAGTTTCTTTGTTTTAGGTTTAGTTTTCTTTAGGGAGGCGGAGGAATCTTCATCGTCGGTGGTCTTTTTCTTTTTATTGACCTTTTTGGGTGCTACATCATCTTCGCTATCACTGATGTTCATTACAAAATCATCATCATCATCATCACTATCTAAACCAATTTTCTTCGTTTTAGGTTTCGACTTCTTTGTGGCGGAGGAATCATCATCGTCGGTGGTCTTCTTCTTTTTACTGATCTTTTTGGGTACTACATCATCTTCGCTATCATCAATGTTAATTTTAAAATCATCGTCACTATTTGAATCGATTTTCTTCTTTTTAGGTTTAGATTTCTTTGTGGCAGAGGAGTCGTCATCGTCTGTGGTCTTTTTCTTTTTCTGTCTCGGCTTTTTCGGCTTGTCCTCTTTCGGTTTCGTTTTAGGCTTGGGCTTCTCGGAGGCGACGAAGTCGTCGTCGCTGGAATATGATTTCGCTTTGGATTTAATTTCTCCAAATTCGGAATCCGAATCCGAGAAGCTGTTCTTTCTCTTGTTGTTCGATCCTATAGGTTTGAAAACGTCGGCGTCGTCTTTTTCATCCTTGGAATCATCTTTTTTTTTACCGACTAAGCTGTCGAACAAGTCTTCAGAAGTCTCGTGGCGAGCCGGCGGTTTGCTCTCATCTTCTGAGCTTTCTAAAACCTACAAAATGCGCCAATAACGAAATTATAATTAATAGCATTTAAAAATAGTTCTATACCAAAAGGAGTCAATTGAAAAGTTGTATTTACGAAGGAAAAATAACTAAATATCATTTTAGCGGTAAATTTAAATCTGACTTTTGTATTATTTAAAGAAAAACATTTTAAAACTTTGTTATTAATGCATTGAAGTAAACGTTTTATAAAACCAACGAACAAACATGACATTACTAAATTGTGCTTATTAACTTTTTTTATTACTCATAGATTCTTTTAGTTATTTACTGTTTCAGCTAGTGCCAGTGTGGTGGCAGTGAGAACCGATATGGAACCGAGCATCAAACATATGGTTTGTTGTGGTTTTAGATTAATATGTTTATATTTTTATTGTTTTATAATCGTACAAGATCCTGACGACATTCAGTCATTATTTTTCCTAAATAAATATACGTTTTATACAATATAATGTATAAGTAAACACATTTTACGAGGGTTAGCGCCTTGTATCCGGTCCAAGCTATTTTTAATTAAAAACTATTTGAATAATAGCAGCTGCACGTGAAGCAGTGGCTGACTAAAAGAGTGCACATGCGCGTTTTGGAGTAACCTAACTTCCGGTTAAACCAGAAGTGGGTTATTTTATACTTGTGTATAGTATAAATAACTAAGATTGGGACATGTAAACCGTTTTACTTTAATTTCAACAGCTTGTCAAAGTGTGAAAGGTAAATTTTCGAATGTCAAAAGTTTGAAAACTTTGAATTTAGACATGGTATTTTAGACAAAAATACTTAGATTTTTACTAGAATTCTAAAATAAAATTCAAGGCGTTTTATTCGAAAAAAAAAAAAAAAAAGAAAAAAAGAAAAAAAAAAAAAGAAAAAAAGAAAAAAAAGAAATCTCCATTATCTGACCACTACATAATATGTTGATTTAACAACAAATTACAAAGAAAATAATAACCAAATATCTGAACAAGCAACAGGTGAAATTTTTTTTTAGATATAAGTAGTACACTGTTGACCTAACAACAAATAGAAACAATGAAAATATAAACCAAATATTTGAACAAGTGACAGGTGAAAGTAATAAATGTCGAGGAGTTATAAACCAAAACAAAAAAACATTCCCCTTCTTTATCTTAATTCACAAAGTTTACTAGCTCATTATGATCAACTTTGTAATATTATTATTATTGATAAACAGCCTATTATAGTATTGTCATGAAATTCCTAAAGCCGACCCTGTGTTTAAAGCAAGCGTGACCTTCAGTTGGCAACCGACTCATGCTCAAGGCGACGGACCGTTCAGGAATGCCGCTGACACACTAGAAACGGCTAGATCGGGCGGAGAGTGCCGTTGAGTCAGAGATGGAATTTTCGGGACCGTCTAGAGTATTCTGGTTACAGAGTTGCCTTGATATAAATATCGCGAGTTTGAAGACGGCAGTCAGTTGATTATAGACAGTTTAGTTTAGAGTATTGGAATGAAAAGTTAAAGTGTAATAAATAAATTAGAATTGTTAGTTAGTGTATAAGTATTATATAAATTAAATAGTGTACGTCATCAATAAATTGTAGTTTGTTTTTTAATAAATAAACTATAAACAAATTAGACTATCGTTACACTATGTTTGACAGAGACAAATTTAATACAATATAGTGAAAGTTGTTCCTGGATATAAAATAGGGTAGACAGTTGCAGTCGCCATACTCACAGTGTTTCGAACAGAGCAAACTAACTGGACAAAAGTAATGTGTAAACTTTAGAAAAATGATTATATAAATTAACAAACAACATTATGATAGTTCCAAATGTGGCTAATTTGTTGCACTGTATTTAACTAATACGGTGAAACATCAGAATCCTATATAAAAAAGGATAAATGCATTATTTTATTTATTTAACTTTTTTTGCGATACCTCAAAACGTTGATTTAAACACTTTTGTACAAAAATTAAAAAAAAAAAAACACTTGTAGATTAAGTCGGCACCATATGAGAAACTTTTTTGTAAGTTTTTTTATGGAAAAAAGTTATTCTTTATAAAAATTTCTATTTTTATGAAGAATAACTTATGTTCGTAAAATGAATAATAAAAAAGTTTCCCATGCGGTGCCACTTAATTGGACACACTGTGTAACAAGCCCTAATTAAATTTGTATTGTACAAAATGTTCATAACATGAGTAGATACAATCCTTAGTCAAAAATTTAGTATTGTCTGAAACACTGTGATACCAGAGGGGCTCTAATTTATAAACATAAAATTGTAATATGTTTAACGTTAAAACATACTGTAGAAAAAGTATACTGGTTTATCTCTTTAAGAATGCAATATTTATCATCTTTTTATAATATAGTATGTTTATATATCGGTCCAGTAATATTTTTAGATTTTTTTTTAAATCACGGTGCATTGGAAATGTAGTAGACAGAAATGATGGCATCCTTATTGTTGGTGACTTCAATATAAATTGGTTACATGAAACTGATATGTAGAAGGCGTAAGAATTATATTTACGATATTGGTTTGGAAAACATAGTGAAGAAGTACCTATCCTAATAACTCTGGTGGTTCATTAATTGACTAAATAATTACTAACAAACATTTGAAAGCTGAAATTTTAAAAGAACCCTCTATAAGTTCACATTATAATATAGAAGTAAAATTAGGTAATTTGAAGAACTAGCCACAATACATTATAATTAGGGGGAGGAATATTGATTATGACCAAATTAATTTTAAGATGTAACAAATTGTCTGGGATTAAATATTTGACGATGAGAATTTAATTTATCGAAGATTGTAAAATGAAATTTTAAGAAATTAAGCTTAGAGATGAATGTTGCAAGCAATATGCAGATACAAAAATTGATGACGATTGGCAATGTTATAAACAAGCTAGAAATAATGTTATTAAAGTAATAAGAGCTGAAAAACGAAAATACTATGAGTAGATGAGCTCCATGACAAAACAGCGCAGGACAAAATGTCGCAGGACAAAATAGTGAAGGACAAAATAGCGCATAACGAAGAAGTTTTTTAATCAATAAAATTTATTGATTTGTACATAAATTAAAGCATGCCTACTTTCACTGTCAACTCTATAATATTTATTATAATTATTATTAAAATAAACTTGCCTCTTTGACGTGACTAACTTCCTTAACAGCATCATTCTCAAACAGTTCATCTTCCTTGTCAGAGAATTTTTCAAATTCGTCTTCGGACAAATCGTATTTAATGACCTTTGTGGCGGCTCTTCTATTAAGAACTCGTTCTTTTACTGCGGGAGAGCTACTACTGGTGACAAATTCGACATCAGAACCTTCAGAATTTTTGTCAGATTCTTCTTCTTCCGAATCGGAACCCTTCTTTTTTCTTCCCTTTCCCTTCTTGGGAGATCCGTTGTTGACTGAAAGGAACAAGCAGCATAAATTAGGTTAACACACAAGTATTTATAGTCGCAGAAGACTAGTATAATAATTAATAATAATTAATAATAATAATAATAATAATAATAATAATAATAATAATAATAATAATAATAATAATAATAATAATAATAATAATAATAATAATAATAATAATAATAATAATAATAATAATAATAATAATAATAATAATAATAATAATAATAATAATAATAATAATAATAATAATAATAATAATAATAATAATAATAATAATAATAATAATAATAATAATAATAATAATAATAATAATAATAATAATAATTAATAATAATAATAATAATAATAATAATAATAATAATAATAATAATAATAATAGCTTTATTGCCCAACAGTTTCCCATTTACAGGACAATATTCTTAATAGTAAGTGGTATCTAAAAATAAAATTAATAAATTACAAAAGTAAATTCTACTTATGGGTTGTGATGTAACATATATTTACACGAAAACTAATTAAAAGTTGCAAAATAAAAACTATAATAGAAAACAAATGAATATTGTGAACAAGCCAAGAATATATTAAAAAAAAAAAAATAAAATTCTTACAAAAATAACACAGGGAGAATTCAATATAATACAATATACTTATTACAATATTTCGTTAAGGAAAGTAACTGCATTTTTAATTAGTTCACCAAGAGAACAATGAAAAATATCGCAATGACTACTAATTTTATTGTAATTGTTACACATTACATATAAGGGTGATTTTAACATCAAGTTGGTTTTTGCCCTAGGGCATTCGAATAGCTTGTTGGTTCTAGAATTTAGACGGGGTATATTAAATTTAATTTGTGACAAAATATCGCTACAATCAATACAATTGTGCATGAGTTTAAATAGAAAAATAAGCGAGGATGTGTTCCTTCTTAGGCTCAGGCTATTAATATCAAATTGTTTACACAACTCCGTATAATCACAACCACGTTCGGGATATACTCCATCAATTTTGAAAACTAGGTATTTTAAAAATTTTCTTTGAACCCGTTCTATATCCAGAACGTAGGTAATAAGGGTTCCAGATCAGACTACAATATTCCAGCTTAGAACGCACGTGGGTACTAAATAATAATTTAAGGGGTGCTATATTTGAAAATTGCCTGCAGTTTCTAATAATGAATCCATACATTCTAAAAGCTTCGGAAACTTTAACTTGAATATGATTTGAGAAGGTTAATTTAGCATCAAAAATTACACCTAAGTCCCTAATAGTAGAACATCTCTCCAACTCATTATCTCCAATCGAATATGAGAATTGAATATTTTCTCTTTTCCTAGAGTAAGTAACTATCTTACATTTTTGAGCATTTAGGTGTAACATATTTGTCTTACACCAGTTATTAATACAGTTCAAATTTCTCTGGAGCTCATTGCAGTGATCTGTATTTTTAATACTTAAGAAAATATTTAAATCATCCGCAAAACACAATTTATTACAACTAATTTCATTGTATAAATCATTAATAAATATTAAAAATAGTAAAGGTCCAAGATTTGAACCCTGTGGTACTCCAGATGTAACCGCAATTGAGTCTGATTTAAATCCATTGTAAGTAACGAATTGTGTCCTATTTGATAAATAATAATAGTCTAATAGTGTTAGCACATAAAGATTTTGGGGAATAGTATTTATTATTAGTTCAGCTCTTATTTTTGTAATTTTTACTTTCCTGTAACCAGTAAGGAATGCATATATATATAATTATTTTGTTTCTTTACGTTTTGTGATGTCTTTCTATAAAAATTTTGTTATATACATCGCTGGTTTGCGAGAATACAGATGCAATTCAAATTTTTTCAAAAATAAAACAGAAATCACTATTATTTCATGAAAAATTGATGTAATTCCAGACTTGCAAACGTTTGGTAAAAAGATATAGTGTTATTATTCGTTTGAGACCAAAAGTCTAATGTGTATCACAAACACAGGCTCATTACGTCACAGTAAAGCTACATTTGATTTTCGTAAATACACTTTTAGCATTATAGCACAATAATTAAAATAACATGTTAAATAAATACTAACCTTTGGAGAAATTGAGTTTAGTCTGTTTCAGACCATCAGTTGATTTTTCTCTAACTTTCTTCTCAACCTTCTTCGCAAGACCTTCAGGCGTTCCCAATTTATCTTTTAATGTCTTTTTGCTTTTAACCATTGAATCAAATTCGTCGCCTTCCTGTATGAAAATAATTCAAGTCAAGAAGTGGGAGAGTTGAGGTAAAAAAAAGTATACTCACTTCCACAATATTTTCTGATTTAAATCCTCTCTTCTTTTGTACATTTTGCTTCATTTTAATTGCATATTGGATTTTCTTCTTTATATCTTCCGTAACAGAAGGAGCAACTCTCTGGGCCATTGGCGATGGGAGAGTTTCAGTATATTTAGGCTTCTTTTTACCCTAATGAAAAATAATTTCATAATGTATATCGTATTTATATGAAAAGTGATTTTTCACACTCGACTAATGCTTTCTGTCACAATAATTCCTACTCTTGAGAAAACTGTGTCCCCACACTAATGACAAAATGTTATTAAAAGACATTTTTTTGTGTGTGAATTTCGCTTGAGCATTTATTCCACAAACAAAATATTAAATAATTATCACTGACCTTTATTCTTTCCTAAGCAGCAAAAAAAATATATCCGTTATAAAAAATCGAAACAAAGCAAATCATGTTTTCTCCAATACAATCGACGAAAAATGTTTGTAACTATACTAGATAAAATTAGATATATGACTTACGGCTACAGGTTTCTTTCTTTGTTGAAGTTCTTTTTCCAAATCATCTCGTTCCTTTTTCTCTAGTTTCTCCAAATTTTCAATAAAAACGTCCAAATCCTCCCGCCACAGATCGGACGGTGTCTTTTTCTTTAATATATTCATCTCCATCATTTTGTTGTCTTTCTGTTTGAGTAATTCGTTTTTCCTTTCATCCGTTAACATCCACATCGACATTCCCAACAGATAATCGTATTTCTTTACATCCGGATGAGTGGACTCTTTTTTCTTCTTTTTAGTTTCGTCCGCTTCTCCATCTTCGGCAGGTTCTTGAGGCTCTTCCTGATCCTCCATGTCATCGTCATCTTTATTCTTAGAAATTTTAAAAAGTTAATATTTTAAAAATTCAACAGTTGAAACAGTTTGTAAACGCAAAATAGAGGTGGGCGGGTCACGTTGTTAGACGAAGACGAATTTAGACCAAGAAATAACAAAATAAACTCAGGCCCCCACATAATAATATTTATTTTCCAGTAGATTTTATAGCATTGGAAGAGTCAAAAGGGGAAAGTACATCAAGGATACATAAAAATACATAAATAGTAAGTGTAATGTATAAAGCAAGTATTTGATTCAAATCACTAATTAAGAGCAATCAGTAACACATGAGATTTTGCGAGATGACCTCGTCCGAAAAATTGTTCGGAACAGAGAGACGAAGGCACTGGCAACGCTGCATCCATCATTCAACTGGCGGCACTCGTCAGAGCCACTTCGTAGCATACAGGATAACATGTGGCTCTTGACTCTCAATAAAAAAAATAACAACACTTACGAAAACTAGTAAAAAGAAACTTATGATAAATTCCATAAAAATATTTATGCTATTTTGTGGTCCCACGCTATATACCACTGTAATTTCAATTGAACAAATAACTCATCTATTAAATAATTATTTTTGGTAATCAATGTTTTATTAAAAAATATTATATTTACTTAATAAAATTAAAAGAATATACAGGATGATATCAGAAATTTCCAAATATTAGGTATTTATAGTTTAATTTAATTTCAGAATTTTGTCTTTACAATGATATAATAATAATAATAATAATAATAATATTTTTTATTATTTTTAATACAAAAATTATTTCCATGACAATATCGGTATAACAATATATACATTGAAAATAAAAGGCGAAGTTCAACTTTTATGAAGATATACTCCATAAAACTTGCTCTTCCACTTAACCTTAAAATCGTGCATGCACAGTACTTAGGTACTACACAAAAAGTATATAAACAAAAATATAAATTATAATTTAGTTTTTTTAAATTTAATTTTAATTCTAGGTAGGGCCTCAGAAACAAAAAAAAATATAATAATGTTATGTATTTTGATGATAAAATAAATTTTCTTTTAATAATCTAAATTTGTTAGCCTTTTGATTTACAATTTTTTTGGGAAATTACATTCAATATATAGCACATCTGATAAACTAAATGACCGTCGAAATATTTCAACTTTGAAAGAAGAAGTAGTTAATGAGCCCTTATTTCTAATATTTAAATTGAAAATGAACGTCTGTCCGAAATGTTATTTTTATATGGAGGTAGGATGGTTTTTTTGTGTACATAATTTTGTAAAACAAAAAGGCAGAGTGCAATACTCTTCTATTGTCCATGTTCAACCAACCAATTTCTGTTATTTTATAAGAGATTCTGCAATGTCTTCTAATCCCAAATATTAAACGGAGGCAGCAGTTTTGTATTTTTTGAATTTTTTTCTTATATTGGGCAGTTAAACATGGACCATAGAGAGCATCAGCGTAATTAAATATGGACAAAACTAGTGATTCACAAAGAGTCTTTTTTATTTGATGTGGCAGAAAAAGCCTGATACCTTAAATTGATTTAAGAGCAATATACGCTCGTTGGAGTGTTTTATTTATGTTTCTCAAATCGCAATTCTGCATCCATTATTACCCCAAGATTTCTAGCTTCCGTTACTAAATTAAGACTTTCATCATATATTTTAATATTGATTTGATTGCAATTTTTTTGACGATTGACTCTAGATCCAAACAAAAGTACATTTGATTTACTGGGATTTATAACTAAGCAGTGATCTCTGGCCGAGTCGATAAATGTGCAAAGATCTTCATTACAAGCACTTTCTATCATTTGGGGAGGAAAACTGTAGTAAAGTTGGGTGTCATCCGCCTATAAGTGAATGTTGCAGTTAGATAAATGTTTTATGAGTTATGAAGAATAAATAGAAAAGAACAATGGTCCCAGTATTGAACCCTGCGGCACTCCTGATATTAATGATTTAAAAGTGGAATTCACCCCGTCCAAGAGAACTTTTTATTGTCTATTTTTCAAGTAATTATTTATTAGCATGAAGGCATTATTAGAAAATCCTATATAACCCAATAAAGCAGTAAGCAAATCATAGTTGACAGTGTCAAAGGCCCTACTGAAGTCAAGTAAAACAAGCAACGTGCATTTACAATTCTGTTGCTCTAATTATTTCATCTACAATGTGAAGAAGAGCAGTGGTGCAGCTATATCCTTTCCGGAAACCGGATTGAACAGGAGGAATTAGGGAAAAAATTTGGAGCTGTTCTTTTATTTGAAATTCCATTGCCCGTTCAATAATTTTTGATAATGTGGGTAGTATACTAATTGGCCGAAGATCTTTTAAATCTACTGGATTTGGCTTTTTTGGCAGAACTCGTACAACCGCACTCCTCCACATTGCAGGGTAAACATTTTCAGTTAAACAAAAATTAATTATATGAGTTATAATTGATACTATATGAGGGCAACAAATCTTAATCATATAAATATTTAATCCATCACAACCAACAGTATAACGTAATCTTACCAAATGGCTTGATCCAAATAACATTACAATATATACCGGGTGTTCAAATTAAAGTGTTACAAATATATACCGCATTTTATATAAAAAAAAAAACGTTTCAGACGAAAGTTTTATAGTTTTGTAGGAAACATTTTTTTTGGCTAAAATCGTTTTTTATAGCTAACCATAATATGGTCAACTTTTTTTTCGCCTAGCAAAATTTTCAAGTAGCTGTTACTCAAAAAGTAAAGGTCCAATAAAAAAAATATTTTCATCAAAAGTTTCTTATTTTTTTATGTACTATATGTAAAAAAATGGGATTCCCATTTAAAAAAACAAAGTCCACCTCGATATGGCCATATTATGGTCAGCTATAAAAAAATGAAAACTATAAAACTTTTATCTGAAACTTTTTTTCTAAAATGCATATTTTCGGCGGTATTTAACTGTAACACTTTAATTTGAACACCCTTAAAATATACATCTCTCTATCAATACTGCGTCATTCAAAGTTCCATCGTTATTGCGTCTCCTAGAATTAGTAGATTAGAGCAAATCTAATTAATATATCGATGGCTCAATCAAATACTGCCATAACTAAAATACTATTGTTTCGAGAAATTTCATTTTGAAATTTTGTAAGTCTCTATTATCAGTATTTTGTTTTTGATATAAAATCTTTATATTTTATTTAAAAGTTTTGATATTTTGCTGTTAAAATTAACGATTACGATTATAAAAGCGAGTTACTGCATAGTTTGTAAAAAATTTGGGTGTTTTTGCAGAAAATAACTTGAATTGAGGTAGTTTTAGACACAGTTTGTGGCTAGATTTTAAATGATTTTCGGGCATCTTTAATTATTTTTTGTTTGTGGCAGTATTTAAAGTAAAACCTTAATGATATTTTGCATCCATTGAACCAAAAATGTAATTTTCTTTGTTTTTGACTTGTGGCGGTTTTTGATTGAGCCATCGATATATTAAAGACCTTGCATTCATGAGCTCAATGATATATATTTTTTTATTTTTGGATCAAATTTAATATATATATTTTCATTCATTTTAAATCATTATGACTTCCTTTTATATTTCTATCAAAAGTGCGCCCTCCTGTATATTTTATAGTCACATAAACACGCATTTTTAATCATTACTGCGTCCAGCTCTATTGCCAAACTAACCAGAAAATCCTTGTAGTAAATCCAACATCCTACTAGGTACTATATAAATGCGAAAATTTGGATGTATGTATGGATGAATAAATGAATGAATGGATATTTGTTGCTCAATAACGGCTTAAGGTGAGAGTTTAATTGCGTTTAATTTTATTTTCTAATAAATTTGAAAACTATACAAATTGAAGAGCTAAGATTTTGTAGACGTTCTTGAAATAAATCCGAGCAGTTGCTGACGTCAATATAAATAATGTAACTTTAATAATAATAAAAGTTTTGATATGTCTAAACTGCAAACAGAAGACGAAATAACGTGGGTTTCAAATACACAGGGAATTTTATCTTGGCAACACTGACAATTCGTTCTTTGCACGCTTTAGTTGTAAATTCACGTCCACATAATTATCTTTTATACGAAATCGTTAGAAAATGATTTGCATGATGGATGGGCGATTAATTTATCGGGCGGTTGACTGTTTATTTATTTTTTTCATTATTTAGGTAATATAGATAGCTAAAATGGCTTGCGTATTAAGTATTTTTCAGATCAATTATGAACATTTTATAAAAGGGGTAGAAGCATACTGAATGTCTCAAAAGAAACACAAAAATCACAGCACCTTCTATAATTAAAATTCAGCATACCTAAAGGTAGGTAAGCTGTGACATGATTTTGATTAATTTTCTTAAAAATTGTTCGAGAAAAAATAGAATTAGGTACCTATTATTAATTAGGTACTGAAATTTTTTTTTAAATAAACTAACGAGTGGTAGAATTCGCCTAAAGCAATAATGTTTGTACGTACCATTTTTGTTTTCAAAATCCCATATAGGTATTTTTAAGGCATTTATCAACATTATAAATTAACAAGCCGTCCATGATATCGAATAATTTTATTAAAAACTTTTTTAGGTGACTTTCATAGAAAATTACATTTTACGGATTTATTAACGTCCCTAGAGTGTCACTTTTTTTGGCCGTATTTAATTTACGGCCGCATTTACTTTACGGCCATTTAAAGTGTCACTTTTTTAGCCACATTTACTTTACGACCGCTTTTTATAAACAGATGTTTATCATACTTATCGTTAATAATTCTTCTGTGCAAATTTTATTAGTTAACGATGGATTTTTATTCGATCAATAAAATTTTTAAACAATTCTTGCATTTAAGCATCTTATTAAAAACAAGATAATGTAAAAAAATATTGGCTCTACTTGATGTAAGAGTCGCTTAAAAAATGTGTGCACCTTGGCCGTATGATAAATTTTATCCTAACCAGAAGTTAGTATGTATGATTCGGCCAAAAAAGATCAACTTTACGGTTAAAATGAATGTACTTATTTCTGTTGCCTTCAGTGAGGACAAACGGATACATTAATTTTCTGACTCATTAATAATTAATTTTTAAAGAAAATCCTGTAACGTAAATTTTTATTTTTGAACGCGACAGTATTTCAATTCAATTAATTGTATAGGTACCTACTTCTTCAAACCCCTTGAACTGACAACTGACGCCTTTTCATTTTTAAATGAAATGAGTGATCATTCCTCATTTTAAAGGGGTTAATATACTCGTTCCAGTAATATTTTTTTTTACATTTTTCTTTAAAAAGAAGCATAACTGTAAATCCAGCAAATCTCCCCAAAAATAGCTGAACATGTTTTATAAGAATCTGAAACATTATTTAATTTTAATATTTTTTTTATAATAAAACACACTATGTAAGATTGCTTGTTAAAAATTAGAAAAATGCAAACAAAAATTCTTATGTGACTGAATAAAGAATTAAAAACTTTTTAAAATAAGGTATCAAATCCCTCATTTTATTTAAAAATTTGAATTGGTTGCTCTCACTCTAAAGCAGTTGAAGCAAGAGGTACATTATTATGTTAAAATATTGTCATTTTAGAAATCAAAATTGACCTGTTTCAAGAATTTAAAGAAGTAGTTAGCTGGAAATTTATAATTTAATTACTCTATTAAATTTACAATGTTTATTGGCTGTTTTTAACAGCAACGATAGAAATTATAAAAATTAATAGAAATTAATTAATAAAAATTCCAGCTAGTAAAAAATATTTCATTCTTTAATTTGGGCATAATATTTTAAACTGCAAAAGTGGTATCTAATAAAAATGTACTGCTTTTATAATTTGTTGAATATTGAGCAACTTTTATTATTAATATTAAAAAGTACAGGACGATGTTGATAGCCTGGCCCAGCTATATTTTGTTAGTAACGAAATGTTAGAAATTAGGAAAAAACAGCACAAATCCCCAGCAGTGATGGTCTGGTTACAACTAGAGTGGGTGACAGTTTATACACACCGCTTGGACTGTAGAATTGATAGAAAAATGCACTAGCTTAATGAATGAGAAGGAATAAGCCATCCAAATGGCACTATTATCCATTAGAGCTTTAGTTCCCCAGAGGAGGGAAAGCAGGCTGGACCCCAAGCATAAATGAGGGGAGCCAGGGGCTGAACACAAGATTGATTTGATGATCTACCTGCGTTTCTGAAGGCTACGCTGTCAAATTGAACAGAAAAAAACCATGGGATCCGAACGTGCCGATTCAGTTATCATTATTGCGTCATGAAAAAATAATTTGCGGGATTTAGATCGCCTGTAAAGAGGGATTGTAAACTTCGGACGCAATCTTTGCAGAGGACGCGAAATTGATAGATTTTTGGCTATTAAATGACGCATTATTGATAGATATGTATGTATATTTAGAAAAATGTTTTCAAGTTAGATGTATATATAAAAAAATGTTTTGAGTTAGATGTATGTGGAAAATGTATATATTTAGTTTATCCTTTAAACATTTATAGAACTGCTGCAATAGGTTGTACAAAATAACCGGAAAAAGCCTGTAATAACTAGATAGGAAAGTCATGTGTTGGACACATCAGATTTTTTTGTAAGGTAACATATAATTATAAATATAACTAAGGTCAAGAGATGATACATTTATTTATTTACTTATATAATTTATAAATGTATTATATTAGTAAACTGCTGTAGAAACACTAAACATTTCGATCAAAATATAAACACACAAAAGAAGTTAGAATAAAACAACACACAACTGAACGAACTGACAAATACAGCGATCACGAATTGATTCGAATTATTCTGAAATCCTTCTCCCTTTCTCTTAAATGAGAGAAGAGGATGGAAGCGATTTTCCGAGTGCAGAACTTGAATGGAACGGATGAATCCCTAAAAACAACCTTACACCGTTGCCAAATGTCAAAAGTGAAACGTAGCCCTTTAAACTTTAAATGCTCGATTTTATTTTCCAATTTTAACTACCTACAATTTTTTTTAAGTATCAAAAATTTGGCAGGGTTTCTTTTATCATATATTTTCGATATTTTTCATTATTTAAGTCTTGTCTTTTCAGATGAGAATTAATTCCGCATAAAAACTCAGGCTAATTAATTTGTTTACCTTATCATTCCATTCTTTGACAGGATCTGCTGGATAACCTCTTTTGATTAGCTCATCGACTATGGTTTTTCTTTTCTTATTTTCGACTACCAGCTCCCCATTACATTTTTCCATGATGAATCTAGCTTGAGCCGTAAGCTTCGCAGCTTCAGCTTCGAGTATACCGGTTAAATAATCTTTCCTTTTGCCGTACATTTTGAGACGAAGACTATAAAATTCCTGAAGAATAGTCATAACAGAGTCATACCTAAAATAAAATGGAAATGTTAAAAACAAAGAGAAGAAATCTAAAATACATACCTTTTCAAACAGCCGTATTCATCAAAACCACACATCGATGACAAACTGATTAGATTTTGCAGCTTGAACGATTTGTGTAAACCCTCCTTCTCCATAGTTTCCAAATTCGTTTGCGGTAAAGTAATCACATATTTCACCGTCATATCCGTGCTGTAATCCTTATAGTCCGTGAGAACCGCTTTTATTTTCTCAGAGCCTAAAAATCAAGATTTATTTTAATTACGAATTTTAGGATTTCCTCGAGAGCTTTACTAACCGTTTACCATAGGTTCGAGCACATTTTCCTTGTAATTCGTGGTCCACGTACCTACAGGTAACTCGGTTATTTCGAGTTTGCCGTCTTCTAAAATCGCGATCTCGCCGTTTACCACGTACCTTTGATCGCCCGCAAATTGGACGGTTCCGTTGAAATATTTCCACCACGGACTAAGATCCTCGGGCTCTTCTCCATCCAACATGAGTCTTAGATTTTTAACGATATCTCTCGGATTGTAATTGGGGATTCTCGTCATCCAACCTGTACCAATACCTAAAAAATCCAATTCATGGCAAGTTATATTTAGTACTGATTGACGGTAAAGGATTGTGATTTTTACATGAAAATGGGAAAGGGAGGTTTAAAAAAAATTTCACTTGATTATATTTTATGAATCGATAGGGCTTTAAAGAGAATTGAAACAGAATCATACCCGCTTTTCTTCATACTGTAACCGAAAATATGCATTAAAACCGTTTTTATTTGAAAAAAGTGTAATCGAATTGGTTGAACCGACAACAGTGATTAACGGCGCGACCAACGGGAGGGCCAATAAGGGCACACATAATCAGAAGCTCATAACAAGAGAAAAAGATTATTTTCGAACATAATTCTGGCATCTGGGATATCTTTAGACTCTCGTAATCTATTACTAAGTGACAATGACAAAGAAATTGGGATGCTATCTTGAAATTCAGAATGAAGAGTAATCATAAGAATCTAGAGATTCAAATGGACAATCTTCAAAAGAGTACATGATTTATGTTGAAGAATCTAAATTCGATAAAATGTTAAATAAAAAGGAGACAGGAACTTGAAAATGCAAGGGAGGATACAAAAAATTGAAAATACAACAGAGTAAATAAAAAATATTAAATTTTAAATTAAAATTAGTTAAATACATTTGTTGCATAATTTATCAAAATATTGTCACTTATGATAAGTCACTTTTATCTTTTACTTATGTCTTAAATATCAGTTTGCAAAAAATTAGACAAATTATAGATCGCCAGACCGGTGGTTCATTATTTATCTAATATTCAAAAAATAATTAAGTCCATTTTTCTACTTATTTTGGTTCACCACCCTTTTAAGACGGTCGCCGCTTCGACTATTAGAGTCCATAGTTTACAGTTGTTGCGAATATTTTAATAAAAAAAATATAGTAACCAATCTGGTTTTAGCTAACCATTCATGTTCATCAGCACTTCTACTTACTGTTAAGGAATGGAAAGATGAGTGAAGGCATGTATACTATAGTGGTATTCTTAGACCTCAAACGTGAGTTCGAAACTGTCAATCATGAAATATTACTCAAAAATTAAAAAAAAAAAGACATAAAAGGCAAAATATTTGATTGGATCAGTGATTACCTTACAGACAGAAAACAGGTATAGTAGAAACTTATTTCGGTGAGATTCGAACACAGTTTATTTTTATTTTAGCTCACTTGGTTTATTTGCCAATAAAAGGTATTTAAAAAATATATTTTATTTGACATGTGTGACAAATTGTGAAAATGATTAAATTTACAATAAAAACCGAAAAACGGTAGGTAAAAAAAAAAACAAGAAACGACAAATAACTTTTTGTTTTTAGTGTTTTCGAATTTTTGTTATTAAAATTAAAATAAAAAATAAAAACGAAAATAAAAACGCAAATATTGTTCCCAAAGTGTTCTTGACAATGCATGGATAGAGAAACTGTGTGCCCAGGTGATATCAAACGGCAGTTTCTGGGAAAAAAGGTCAAAAGACACAAATAAAAAGGAACGAAATAGTACATATTTCAATCAAGTGTTACTAGTGGTAGGTATACATTATACCATCCTATACAGATATTTCAAGGTCGACTACTTTTCCGGATATGTCTGTCAGACTTTTCATGAAGAGTCTCATCACTACTTTTTACTGCACTATTCGGTAAATTTTTAATTACTTCCTTACCATCAGCTCCATTAACCAGAACCATGGGCAAAATCGGGCAATACCATTGTGGCTCGACTTTACAATTATCATCGTATTCGTGGTTGAGTAATGCATCATCGTGAGGATGCATAATCATTCTGGTTAACGGCGACAACTTGGTGAAAATATACCTAGGGCTGGCGTTGTCCTTGCCACCCACTAATCTCGTACCGAATTGACCGCGAGGCTCCAGCAAGTTGATGTTATTACTGCCAACGAAGTTCTGCGCCAGACCGACGATGGTTCCCGCTAAAGATGTGTCACCGTGATGGTATGCAGCTTTTTCGATGACGGATCCTACCAATTGACTCACCTTGAATTCTCGTTTGTCGTTACGTTTCAGACAGACATACATGATCTAAAAACATTATTTAATTATATTTTATAATAACCTTTATTTAAAAAAATATTAAAATTATTTATAGATTTATTTGATTGAAACTGACCTTTCGCTGACCAGGTTTGAAACCATCAATTATACTAGGAATTGATCTCACATTATCACCGTTGGAAAAAAGAATCAGCTCCATATTAATAAAATCAGTGTAAGAGATAAATTTCGTATTTTTTCCATATAAATATTTCTCGGGCAATCCTATTTCTTTCCTCCTTCTACTCTCTACCATGAAATTTGTTAGCCATTCCTTTCGATGCTCAATGTGCTTCTTACTGAAAGCCAACAGAATGTGATCATCATCTTGTGGGCCTGAATATCTGAATCTTATTCTGTGTCTGTCCATATTTGAGAAGTACTCACGACCCTCCTTGGCATCGGAGGTACCCAAACCTGATAATAAAAAAAAACATTCAGAAATTTGGTTAATAAACATTTAAACGAAATTTACCTTTGTAGTATTTGATTTGGTAAGTTTGATAGTTTGGTGTGTTCTTTTTCCATTCTTCCATTTCTGGTAATGAATAAAACGACAAGCATTCATTCTTCTTTTTAGCTTTCACGATTGGCGTAATGAATTGTTCAATAAAGTCCTGTTTCAGCAACTCTGGCCAACTGTGATGAATGAAATTGATAAGCAATCCTTTGATGTGAGATCCGTCTTGATCCTGATCAGTCATTATCATTACTTTACCATATCTAGAGAAATATGTTAACAATAAATTCACGAAGCAATATCAAAAATCATGTAGGGTCAAGTGGATTTTTGCAAAAATGTTACATAGCGGATTGCAAGAACTTAGATTTTAAGATTTAAAAACTTTTACTTTAAGATATTGTACTTTTATGTGAATTGATCCAAAATAATTTAAAGAAGTTTCCAAATTTAGATGTTATTAGTCGTAAGTAAATTATGGAATTTTTATAACTCATAAACAAATAAATAACCTACCTTAAAGTCTTCATATCTTCCGGAGTATTATATTTTTTCTTATACTGCAATCCAAGAATTTGAATAATATTGTTTATTTCTGCATTTTCGAGAATCTGTTTGTGCGTCGCTTCACGTGTATTGAGGATTTTACCTCTAAGCGGAAATATACCATAAAAATCTCTACCGACTACTCCCAGACCAGATACGACTGTACTTTTAGCCGAGTCTCCCTCAGTCAATATTAAAGTACACTTTTGAGCGTTTTTGGTACCGGCCTCATTGGCATCCTCCAATTTTGGTATCCCTAAATTTAAGAATTAACAAGAATGCAAAATTTATAAAATATCAATAACGATGTCGAACAAAACCTACTAATATAATTGATCGAATAGTCCATAGGCATAGAGAAAACGAGTTAATCAAAACCAAAATAAATAGTTAAACAAACTTCTGAAGGGTTGACAATTGAGTAGAGCGTCTAGCACAGATTATATAAACATAGCATGGAAATAATGTTGAGAGAAATAAATGGAAAATTAACAACCATAAAATTAGGATAAATGATGGAAGAAATGGCAAAAATGAGGGACGAAAATAATCGGCCCAGAGCAGGGTACAACTAATAATAGCATATGCAGATGATATATCAGTAGTAGAATGAAAAAAAAGAGCCTAGAGGAGACTGTGAATAAAGTAAACAAAGCACCAAAAAAAAAAAAAAGAAGACTATAAATAAACGAAAAGATGACAAACTAAATGAGAATTAGCCGGAAACACGATCCGAAAGAACAAATAGAAATAAAAATAAGAAAACCTAAAATCGAAACAGTGCAAAACTTCAGATATATGGGAACAATAAGAAACAATAAAAACGACACTAATGTAGAAATAAAACAGAATCCAAGCGGGCCACAGATCATATTATAAAATATCGGTAACTAAGCCCTGCAAGGGTCCATGTTCCTATATTAAAATCAATTAACGAGAGCTTTCTTGGGTAGAGCGTTGTCGGTCGAATATACAAACACCCTGTATTATTAATTCGTTTATAATGGGGTCTGCCCGTATAATGAATAATTAAATAAATAAATGAAAAATAAACTGACCTTTAAGTTTGCTACGTTTCTTTCCACTGGTCTTCGCTAACTCGTTTTGGGCCTTAAATTTAGCCCAAGACAGTACCGACTCTACAATGCCGCTCTTGATGACAGCATTTATGAATTTGTCGGGAAGCTGGCATTTGGAGCCGAAACTTTTCGCTTGCAATGTCATGTTCTCCTTCGTTTGCGAATCGAAAGTGGGATTGACAATGAGACAATTGATGAAAACCCACATGTGATTTTTTACTTGAAACGGCTTGATCGCCACGCCGCCTTTGTTTTTCTTTTTCAATACTTCGATTAGCTGTTTTACTATCAAATCTACTACGTAATCAACGTGTCGACCTCCTTTGGTAGTTGCGATACTGTTTACAAACGAAACTTGTTGGAAGCCTTTATCGGATAGTGTTAAACCGATTTCCCATCTTTCGTTAACTTGCTCGTGGACGATTTTTAGGGCATTCCCTGATTCGTCTTCTTTACCTTTGATGTACAATTCGATGTAATCTTTAAAGTTTTTCACTGGTAGCTTTTTTCCGTTTAGAAAGACCTAAATTCATCAAATTAATTTATCTTATAAGTTATATAACTTTAAAAATATAAGGTACGACACCCCATAAAGTTTATAACTCGCTTATACTCCAATTTAAAGTGACGAAGTCATGCCGATATTTTTGAGACACAAATGTAGTAGCAATTGATTTAAACTTGAGAACACTCGAATGTGAAACAAACACTCTTTTTTTTTCTAACAAAAACAAACTGTGATGTTTGAGAAGACAGAGCAGCATTTAACTCCACTTTCATAATTGTTTCCCCAGATCTGAGGAAATTTGTAGGGCATCTGCAACATCGCACCGCATGAATCAACGGTAAGTATGCTCAATAATTCCCCCAAAACTTGTCATTAAATGGCAATGCAAGTACACTGTTCAGTACTTCCCTTAAGGCTGATAAGAGAGACATAGGTGCAATGTTATCACCATTTTCAAGGATTAACATGGAACAAAATCGGTAAAGTATTTTATCCAGAACTACCCTCGATATAAAAATTGTAAAAACAGGAAACTCCTAAGCACTTAACATTTTACGAACGTGACGAAAAACACCGAGCGGACGCGAAAAGCGAGTTCGGGTCGGTTCGAGAGGAACATCAAGAAAATTCTTTTTCACAGTTAATGGGTCCTATGATTGAACGTATACGTTAATTTTAACACGAATCTGTTATGTTATGCTAACAGGGAATATATAACATATGAAATAACAGTAGGTGTCGTATCGGTATGATTGAGACAATCGGTAACAGAAGATGTTAAGCTGGCTGTTCCGTATGGAAGAAAGTATTCATTTGCGTTATTGCGCGTGCGCACAAGATGTACCTAACTTCACTTCAATTATAAAAATGAAGTTTTTCATGTTTTTCTGAATTAGGCATTCCAAACAAATGAATTACCAGTGGGCAGGTTTGGTATATCTAAGGGTGGCGACATATGGTGTATTCTATCTACTATACGTAAAATCATGAATAATGGATTACATTTAAATATTTTATGTCAAACACAATAAAAATAATATTTAAAAAACCCACCTATACATTTCTTCATAAATTGGCAGGCTTGGCAAGTACTACTTCGAATAAAAATAGCGTCCAAGTTGCAAGACTATGTCGCTACCCCCTTAAATATACAAAAATTTCCCACTGGCACCTATTGTATGACAGGTCGTTGGAATGCCTAATGAGAAAAGAACAACAATTAGGTTAGAACTTTTGGCTTTATTTAATTTATTATGGCGAAAAGATTAGCTAAAACAACTGTGAAATAGTATGAGAAGCTACTTAATTTTGTTAGGAAACACAAAATGATTCTCACGGGAAAATAAATATATTAGTTAAACAAAATCAAACCTTTGGCTAGCATTTACAAATCATATACCTAAATTAAAAACAGATCCAAATATACTAAGAATTCAGATAATTAGCAATATAGGTATTAGATAATTAAATAATAAACAAATAAAGTAGTAACATAGACGTTGGGCATTTAATGACATGTTATTCGAGGATGTTGAGGCGACATGTTAAATTAGAACATAACAGGTGGAAAATAACAATAATGTGTTATGAAAGACTTTACATCACACGAATTTTTCTCACTGTTAAAACTCGGCCTAACATGTACGTTACGGATAACGTAAACGTTCAATCATAGGACCCATTGAACGATAATGATTGGCTGCTTTTAAACTGGTCATGTTACACAGATCAAAAGGACGCTTTTTATTATTTTCATTTAAGAGGGTCATTTTTTGATTAAGGTAGTTCACTCGTAAAATGGCCTTTCTCAAGAATTCATTAAAATGGAAATATAAGGTTAATGAAAGTGTCTTTTACTTAACTAAAAAAAAAAAAAAAAAAAAAAAAAAAAAAATTTTACCGTCTGTGAAACGAGATACTAATAATCAAAATGTGCATAATTAACACTCTTTAAGCCTGTCATGCACACAAGCAATGCATTTATTTAAAGTTATCTCGAAAACGGTTCTTACTATATTTTTTAAAAACTAATGTAATGTAATAAAATTTAAAAAAAAAATTTTTTTTTGACCGTTTTGGTAAAAATATAGATTTTAAAGCATTCGACGCGTAGTGGGGTACAATGATTACAACTTGGCAACATTGTAATCACTACACTTAACGCGCGGTAACTCAAATATCTATTAGATTACTTTAGGCATGTTTTGGTTCTTTTGAAAACTAGTTCGGAATCACTGAATTACACTCGATCAACTAAGAGGTTGTTATAACCTCGCGACATGTTCTTGAAACATTTATGTGGACGATTTGAGAACTGCAATCGACGGTTCTGCTTGAACCAAAACAAACCCTTAAAATGAGTATGAGGAAGTCACAAATTTCTATAGGTATACACACTCATTTGATAGCCCACCACTCATATATTTGCGACGTTGACAAATGGATTTTAATTGAAATCCGTATATACAGAGTGACCCAAAAGTCTGGAAACGGCCAATTATCTCGTAAATTGATAGTCCTAATTGTATAAAATATTTGCAATGATGTCAGATTTGCCGTTTCTCTTATATTATTAGTCACTTTGGTTTTTCAAATTCATCACCCTGTATATTCAGTCATTATTGGAATCTTCTATTTTATGTAGTATAATAATAATAATAATAATACTCTCCCTAATTCACCCCCTTACGAGTGAATTTCAACCCCTGAAGTCGACTGAACGACTTGTGTAGGGGAAGGGACGGCTATTATTATTATTTGCCGTGGCGCTCCGGGGCGACTTAAAGATGATTGATGGTGCCATTTGACTTACAGGTGAGGAAAACCCGGAAAACCTCACCCACCATCATCGAGACGGTAATGTATGGCGAATTTTTTTAATCTGCGTGTCATATCAACAGAAATTGAATTTCTATTAATACGCCACACATCAAATCCTAAACCGAACCATGCAATTTAATTAAAAATCCACATGGTCTGGTTTGGGATTCGAAACCCAGCAGTCTCAGACTCATAAACTTGCCTATAAATGAATATAAGCGCGATAGACCGCTACACCACCGTCCCGATGTCTGGAAGGTCTTAAATTAATAAAATAAGTCTGGCAACGCCTAATTGTCTCAATAAATTTTTTAATACAAACTATTTTCAACTACATTAAAACGTAACAATTGAAAGATTATAACATTTTTAACCTAATGGTTACTTTATCAAGTGTTCAAAATGTGCTCCATTTGTGAATTGACAGTACCCTAATCGATGGTAGAATGCGTTTACCACATTTCTCCATGATTGTTTTATTTATTTAAGACCTTCCAGACTACATAAAATAATAAGTGTTACATATGGTTGAACTCGTATTGAATAGGAGATTCCAATAATGACTGAATATACAGGGTGATGAATTTGAAAAACCAAAGTGACTAATAATATATGAGAAACGGCAAATCTGCAAAACATTGCAAATATCAAATCTGGAATCTCCGTATCCCAAAATAGATGTACCCCAAATTTTGTACAATTAGGATTAGCAATTTACGAGATAATTGGCCGTTTCCAGACTTTTGGGCCACTCCGTATAAGCTTACATGTGTTATGTAGTCTCTTACAAAAATTAAATTTTTTAGCATTAAGAACTCGAACTTTTGGTATTCACCATTAGGCGTTATTTTTGTGTACGACCGTCGCGAGTGAACTACCTTAAATACTATTCATTTCAACGCCATTAGGATCTGTTATCTGTGACTTCTAAAGTACTCAGATACCAATTTTAAATCGAAATCTACATACTTTTAAAAATATATTTTTTTACTGCTTCCCCAATAACTGACCGGAAGTATAACAGATTCTCGCGCCAACAGACAGACCTACGGAATGGGGAAATATGTTTTTCATAGCCTAGGGACCCTGAAAAGTGAAAATTTGAAATAATCTCAGAGGGTGATTTATTCACGATTACAATACTTCCTCTTATAGAGGGAAGTAAAAATACTCTCGGAAATACTATATTTGAGAAACCGCGTTGCCATTTAAGTTTCTGAGTTTATGTGATGCGGTGTTGGCAGACCTACTCTACACAAATTTCCCCAGATCTTGAGTCAAGTGCTGCTCTATCTACTACTTGTTATAAAGAACATAGAAATGTGGTTTAATTAATTAATCTAATTTAAGCCTAGTTTTTGTTTAAAACATTTTTGTTTAAAATTGTCTTTAATGGTTAAATCTGAAAATATTCAGGAAGGCAACAATATACAAATAAAAAAAAAATTGAACAAAAAATAATTTGTTTTAATAGTTGTTATAGAAAGCAATTTTTAAATAAAAAAAGAAAATAATAATTTGGCAACACTTTAGGGGATGCCACCGTCAAAAATCAAGATTCAATGAAACCATTTTAAATGTCTTATTTACTTTTACTCCTTTGGTAGAAGCGGCCACATCGAATGCTCGTCTGGCCAACAGACCAACAATATCATCATCTAATTTTTCCATTTTAAACTTTGCCAAGTCAGGACAAAATGTAATTTTCGTAAAATCATTCTCTGCATTTGCCTTTAGTTTTGGTTCTGAAGCTTTAGACATATTCGAGGCCCATGTCTGCTTAAATTGTTGTTTGTATTCATGCGATGAAGTTTCAACAATAAACTTTGTACTAAAATGCAATAAAAATATATATATTTTTGTATAAAAATAGAGCAGACCATTTAAAAATTTCTCCTGACCACAACAACCTTTCGTTATCTATTGAGATTATCACAAATTATTGATCATCAGTGTCCCAATCAAATATGTACAATAATAAATAAAAAAATAGAGGTTAAGTGTCAACTTACATTTTATTTCTACGAATGAACCGAAACAGTTTTTGTCGAGTTTTATGTTCAAGGAGAAGAAGGTTAAAAATTAAATGAGATATGTTCCTAATTTTCTTGGACAGTAGCAATGTTGGTTACCTACAGTGTGTTGTCAACCTTACACCGTACCCATATTATCAAAGTAGCATTTAAAAGTTAAATTCCTTACAATTTTATGAATTTTAACTAAGTTATTATTTTCAAAGATAAAAAATTGTTAGGGTATTTCTTTTTGATATTTTTCATTACTTACATTTTCTGTTCATAGCAGAATTTTCAACTTGTCCTTTAACCGGCCTAATACCCAGGAATGGATTAGGTAAAATAATTTATATAGGTCAGGAGAATTCTGTACAAGAAACACATGTGATTTACCTGAAAATATTACACAATTTCGCACCATAACCATTTCTTCCTCCTGTGACTTTTTCCTCTTCATCATTATAATTGGAAGATGTGAGCAAATGACCAAATATCATTGTAGGAACATACATTTTTTCCTCTTTGTGCATTGCCACTGGTATACCCTTACCATTATTCCAGACTGATATTAAGTTTTCCTCGGGTTTTATTTCAACTTTAATGCAATCCATTTTTTTATCCCGTTGTTTATTATCAGCAGCGTTTACCAATATTTCATCAAATATTTTATACAAACCTATTAATAAATTATTAAAACTTGAAGGCTCGGAAAACAAAAATTGGCAAGTTTTCATAAAATTAATACATAGTGGCGAAGGTACAAAAGAAATTAATGTTTCTCCCCCCTCCCCACCCCAAGTTTTATTATTTAGTATTTATGAAAATTTCATGAAAATAAAAATAAAGGCCCAGAAAACAAAAATCAGAGAATTTTCATAATACAGATGGCAGGGAAACTTTTTTAAAATTCTGTTTAAAAATGTAACAAAACTTTTAGAAGTTTTACAAATAAAATCAAAGTTTCGTAATTTTTTGTTTATTTTTACTCTCCTATCTGTATTAGGGTGCTTCAATTTCAGGCAATATTTTTTTTCTCTGTGCTACCTAAAAATCTAAAACTTTATAAAAAATTAAAAATTTAACCGCCGGGTAAAAGGTTCTAAATGCAATAGCGACTTAGCTCATTTAAAAATTCGATTTTCCATTTAAATAACAGGAAAAAAAATTTTTTTTTTTTGGTTTCAATTTGAATTTTCGATATTAAAATTTTTTTTTAGGAGAAATCCGTGTATACCTTTTGTAGGGCATAAAATTCGCTACAAAAAGTTTTTCTGAATCAATCCCCTCCGACTAACAATAATAAATTTTAACATAAAGAAGATTTGATGTGAACTATAATTAATATTCATCTTTCTATCTCTATAACTCAAAAACTGTTAGTTGGAGAGGATTTACTCAGAAAAACTTTTTGTAGCAAATTTCATGCCCTACAAAGCTATTCACGGGTTTTTCCTAAAAAAAAAATTTTTTAATATCGAAAAATTAAATTGAAACAAAAAAATTTTTTTCCTAGGTTGTTTAAATATGAAATCGAATTTTTGAATGAGCTAAGTCGCTATTGCATTTAGAACCCTTTACCCGGCGGCATAATTTTTTAGATTTTCAGGTAGCACAGAGAAAAAAAATATATTGCCTGAAAATGAAGCACCCTAATCTGAATACAGATATAAGGGAAGTATAGGAATCATGATTTTTTTCGACCTTGAGTTTTCGACGGATTTTTACGTTGTGAGGTCCCCTGAATCCGTTTTGACTATTTTCGCGATGATGTCTGTGTGTATGTGTGTGTGTCGCATAACTCGTGAACCGATACACAGAAAAACACCAAATTTTAAACTTAAGCTTTATTCCAGCGTCTAATGTACTGACTAGATTTTGGGCAGAGTCGGAACATCTAGGGGGTACTTTATAGGTGGTTATTTTTATATTTTATGGAATATATCTGTTATTTACGTTTGGAGAAGAAAATTCTTCAAATAAAAGTTACTTCCTATATTATTATCTAGAATTTTTGCTCTATACAAAATTTTCCTAAAATGGCCCGTATTCGAGAAATTTGACAAAATGTAAAAAAATAATTATTTATAAAAATTGTTCAAATAAAAGTTGTTTGTAATATAATTCTCTATAATTTTTATTTTATACATAATTTCTCTAAAATGGACCGTATTCGAGATATTTGAGCAAATGTGTAAATTTCGAATTTTGAAGAAAACTCAAAAACGGATAAAGAAAAAATATTAAATTTTAAACTTAAAGTTTATTTCGGACTGACATGAAATTATTAGATTTTGGACAAAGTCGGAATATCTGGGGGGTACTTTATGGTAGGCCGTTTTTATATTTTATGGAATATATCTGTTATTTATGTTTGGAGAAGAAAATTGTTCAATTAAAAGTTACTTATATTATTATCTATAATTTTTGCTTTATGTCAAAATTTCCTGAAATGGTCCGTATTCGAGAAATTTGACAAAATGTGCAAAATTCTGATTTTTATGAAAATTGTTGAACTAAAAGTTATTTGCGATATCGATCTCAATAAATTTTTGTTTATACATGATTTTCCTAAAATGAACCGTAATGGAAAAATTGTAGGAAAAGTGCTAAATTTTAAATTTTTCAGTATTTTCGTTTTCAATGAATATCTATAGAAAAATGTTTCGAGATAGATGTATGAGGAAAATGTATATATTTAGTTTATCCTCTATACATTTATAGCGGTGCTGCAATAGGTTGTACAAAATAACCGGAAAAAGCCTATAATAACTAGATAGGAAAGTCATGTGTTGGACAGATCAGATTTTTGAATAATATCAAGCTATTTTAAAGATCAGTTTTGTGTTAGTTATTCAACAGTTTTCTCATCATATTTCCTTGTTGGTCATTAGCTTGTTGGTAAAAACATTGTTTTAAAACATGCCTACTACTTGTTATGTAGTAAAGTGTGGAATCCGTGGAGATCCACGATGTTAAATTTTTTAAATTACCTACCAATATTAATTGCATTTTGTGTATACAAAAGACATAAACGAAGTTTTAAAAGCAAAAGACTCTATAAATGGATTAAAGTCAACAGAAGTGATCTCACAGAGATCAAATTTTATTATATTTGAGTGTGTCACGTAAGGTGTAGCAACTGCATTATGTTGACTTTGATCTAAAACAGTACTCTTTTAGTAAAACCATGGGGTTTTATGGTAATGATAAAGTTCCCAACTTTAAAAAGATCTTAGATTGTGCTTGTATGACAATTTTATTAATAATTGTTTTATTTTGTAGAACTATGCCATATAAATGCTAGAAATACTGATAAACAGTGTCAGATTGATATAATAATGTGGTATCGCTTGCAACCACAAAAAAATAGAAGCTTAACTTAAATTAGTTTTTTAAAGATGATATAAAAAATAATTATTACACAAGCCTAAATTAATTTACAAGAATAAATATTTGTGTTTATTTTAGGTAGGTACCTATATTATAAAGACTAAATTAAATATTTGCCCATATACCTATTTGATAATTTGACTTTATTATTGTTTTATTCTAGGAATCTATTTTTTAGCCTCTATTGTATTTAGCCTTGATTCTATTTTTTTTTTATCTGTGCAATGTTATGTATTTTTATGGGACCGACCTTATAAAATAAACATAATAGTTCACTTGTTTCATTTGCCAATAAAAGGTATTGAGTATATAAAAAAATAAGGATTTTATTTGAAATGTAATTTTTTTTTATTGGTGTCTGCTTTGGCAACTTAGGCCATTAGTCTCGTGTTCTGTGTAGGTTACGGAGTGCTAGTAGTCAAACACTCCATAGTGTAGGAGTGCTAGTACACTAAAATACTTCTACACACCTACAGAGAGGCCTTAAATTAAAATAAAAACTGAAAAACAGTAGGAAAAAATTTCATATAATATTGTTACACAAAAATCAAACTCAAGCTTACTGTACGCGATAAATGTTCAAAAATATGAAGGAAAAGCAGCTAGCAATAACTAAGAATGTATATAGATGGGTTGCAAAGTATCAAAAACAAATATAACAATAACTAAAATATTCACTTTTTAACATAACAAAGCACCATTATTCCTATTTTCAATGTAAATCGTTTTTATGTCCATATACAGACATACAGACTACGCGATATAAACAATTCTTTCTTATTCGTTATTGGGAGCGTCCACAGGCTGGTCCTTACATGTAATCTTTTCCCTATTGGAGCTTGACAGGTAGCCAGGTTTGTGACAGGCTGGCGTCAGTTTCCTAAAAGCTGTGGCAGACATTAGTTCAAGGGTAGTCTCTCAGACGACGCCGGACCGTTAGTGCTACTTATTTGCCTGTCGCTGATTTCAAGAAATATGGCCACACCATCAAAACGGGTGCGTTTTGGTGATCGCTTATGTTCTAGTAAAAAGCGCAGAATGACCAAATATCTGTGCCTGCGTTACAAAAAGCCCGTTTGTCTACAGTGTACAAAACCATTATGTTAGAGTTGCATTTAAAAATACTGAACTTTGTATTTGTATTTTATGTAAGTTTTTGTTTACCTAAAACTTTGACAATTTAATATTGCAATATGAAAGAATTTTTCTTTCTTTTTTCTTGTATTTTCTGCCTTTCGTTTAAAAATATGTACTTTTTCAAAATTTCTGTGTGGGTTTAATTTTTTTTTATATTTAGTTATAAATATGTTTATTTTTTCATAATATTATTATTAAGTAATGTTTTTAACATTTATGTTAAATAAAACATTTTATTTTATCTGTATTATTTTTTTTGTCGTCCGAAAAAAGTAGTCTCACAGACTACGTCGGACCAGTTATGTTACTGTCAGAGTGCCGGACCAGTTAAGGGTTAAATGGCCAGGGTCACTTGTTCTGCACAGCCTAATTATTCCAAATTCATAAATATTCATCATGAAATGTTAACACACCAAGGTGAAGCGCTGAATATGTATGTTAATATGTGTTTATGTTATATAAAAAGGTTTTTTATTAGTCCCAACTAAAAAAAAAATTCATTTTATCCCCTGTCCTTGTCTTCGCCACTCTTTTCTCTTTCATAATTTTAGCAACCCTAGGCATACTTAATATGGTAAAAAAAAATAAGGGGCATAGTTTTTTCTGTCTAGCATATCTATACATTGACATAAAGGCAAGGGCACTTACTATTACTGTTTAAACTGAGAAGTTGGAAGTTGTCTCTCATCCCTCCTAACTTCAAAGTTCTATATGAAACAGGAAAATTGGATGCACTGTTGCCTATTATATTACTTTACAACATAGTTTACATAATAATCACATGCAAGACAGAAAAAATAAGTACTGTATATTATGAAGCTGAAACTAGCAGTCAGAGTTAGCAGCCGAGAATACCGATCAAGGAGAAGTGACAGCTTGGTGTTTTTAGTGTACCGTTTTGTAACGCGCATGTGCGAAAATAAGTTGTGTATCACTCAAAATGATGTTATCTGTCAAAGTCAGTCCAAGTTGTGTTTAGTACGTGAGCAATGTTAAGTGATATTTTTTGGTGTTTGTTTTGTGTAGTAATAAGATGAATATTTTTACACACTTAGGTATTCTAATGCAGATATAAAATGTGCCAAAAAAGTTACTAGGTAACTAAGAATTCTATCACATGCATAAATATTAAGTATAATGATTTAATCA